TATGCTTTTATATGCTTTTTATCATCTGTTGAGCAGTAAATGGTCATTTTTCAGTAGCAGATATACATTTCGGGTATCTCAGCTGTTTCCCCCCCGCCAAACCCCCATGTTTACAACTGATCGGCCGTGGCAGCGGGGCATTTTTGGCGGGTTACTTCCGGTGAAACGCTGAGCGCTTCTAGGGTTAAAGTAAAAATTTACTGATATATCATGTCATAGGCCTGTGATATAGAAATCAAAATGAGCTCATTTAATTGTAAGCTAACATTAAAAACTATACATAGAATCTAGATCTAGGATCTAGATCTAGATTTCTAGGCCTAATCACAGACATGATAATTTGAATAATCATTCTAGATTTCATCATTTGAAATATGAGCACAGGTTGTGCACTCTCTAAATCTATCTTCACAAATAGTTCGGAATAGGCCTCCAGACACTGATGTATGAAATGAGAATGAGAGTTATAATACTACTATGTGCACATTCTCTACCGTTAGTTCTTGAAAAACTATTAAAGTTAAAGTTAAATTAAAGTTATAAAAGCCATAATCAACCATTCAGACTTCAGATTTACATCACACTGGACCGTTGGTGTTTATAATAGGGCAGTAGGCCAAGAGCAACATAGAAAATAAAGAAGGACGTAGGTCTAATAGAGATGGAAGGACGTGTCGTAGTAAGCCTTTTAGAAGATCGAAGAGGCGGAGCAGCAGGGCTGGTCAGCAGGGATCGCATATTAGCCTACTTCTTAAACACATACCGTGGCTAAATCTTCACTGTCCCATTTTCGGAGCTCATTATCTTCCATTTTCTATCAGATCTATTATTTGTCAATATCTTTAGGTCAAGGAGGCAATGAAGATGAAGAAGAAGATCTGGTCTGTTAGCCTACGTAGAATCTGCAATTCAAACCAGCAGAAGAAATTGTTTACATGGACAACGGTCTGTTTTTAGAAAAATAGGTATGGATCCGTCGTAATGCCGTAAAATGTCTCCTCCTATACTAGAATCTGAAAGAATCAGAATAGATAATAAAGCTAACCATTAACATTTTTGTACCTTCTTGAGAACGCATCACAAGATAACTTTATATCTGATATCTTACCAAAAACTAGATATTAGTTACGACATCTTCAGACCGTCAAGATGGACGATCAAGAGGATGGTCAACTCGGTTTGTTATTTTTTGTCACTTCTTCCATTTTTACATGATTGCACTCTTTCCCCCATTTCTGTTTATCGTTATCTTTATATTATGGAGAAACTATAAAATCTTAGAAAGGTTACTCATTCCATCGCTAGTGTTGTCAACAAAAACGTCGATTAGAAACTGGAACATAGGCTTTGAAGCCTTGTCATAGTGCCTACCGCTACTGATTATCAAGGCAAGCTTTGCTGAGTCTAGTCTGCTACCTAATCTCGTGAAATACTCTAGGCCTAATTGTTTAAGGAAGAAAGTGATAGGTTGGGTCATATCATAGGAGAGGAAGCCATGAAAAAGTAATTGGATGCGACAGAAGAACAGCATCCAGTGAAGAATGTTTTTGCGGAAACTTTGGTTCCTGTGAAAGTTTGATGACATTCCATCCATCATTATATTTAGCAATGACAATGAAAAATTAAATTTTCACCCAAATTGCTTAAAAATGGGCTTAAATAAAAATAAAGTAAATTCTAAGAACTATGGTTTTAAAATTTTTAAAATCCATTGATAAATAAAAAAGTTATTGGGATTTTTGTTTGCAAAATGTTGGAGGACCTTCATAGAGAAAAATCACCAAAATGTGGGACATGTTTTGATGTATTTTGAGGAAAAACTGTTCATAAGTCAGTAATGAATAGGAGCATATGAATGAAACTTGGCATCTTCATGTGATTTTTAGTGCAGAATCTAGATCTAGAATCTAGTTCTGCTATCACTTTTTCGATGTCTTTATTACTTTGGATCTTAAAGCCTGATATTTACAGTGTGAAATTTGTTGAATTACGTGACACCATTTTTACCGCGACGCGATCACCCCTTCTAAAACTCAGTAAAGCACTATCGGGAAAACCCGCGATGTAGTCATCAGTGACCTATTTAGTTATAGGCAGCCAATCACATGCCGCTAGCGATCACGCGCCTTTTGCATGCTGACACCTCACGTTTGGAATGTGTGATCTAGTTTCCAGCTCTAGTGTTTTATCAATGGATGGGTGGTAATTTTAAGTTGGTACGTAAAATCTACTAAACGCAGAGATCTGAAATTTTACAGCAATAAAGAAGACATGTGGGGCACTTGTGTGGTCGGCGATCAACCCGCAGCTCAGCTTAATTTTCGCACCGCAGAGGAAATTCGCACAAGACACGGCAGTATCTCCGGTTCTAGTAATCGTTCGGGATTGTACGCTGGCATGTCGTTAGTTTAACCTTTCCTCTGATTGGTTGCCGAGTTTCATTTATTTTCGTCCAGGAGTTTTCCCGTAACTATACTTAAAAGAGAGTCACTTCGGAGGCCGATTTCCGGCCCAAGGCGCAGTGGGCGATTGGCATTGCTAATTAATTACATTCCATTCATTAGGTCATTAGACTAATTTAAATTCACTTTCTGCTTGGTCATTTTGGTCTAGAGATCTAGTCTTCCGTGCAGCTGTAGCAATGTCATGTCTGTGTACATTACAATTTCATTACACTAATTTTTCATACAGGGTACAATCATGTTTTTGAATAGCTGCATTCTGATATACTCGTCAGTCAAAATTAATTTTTCATGATGTTTCTCAAATCAGATTTAAATCTGTGTGTGTACAGTGTATGCACTGTCATTCAAAACGAGAATTCATGTTTAGTCAGTTTTTACATCACAGACGGATTTGGATCTAGTTCAGCATGTCAAAAAGTTAACCATCAACAGTACTGGAGAAGTGAATAGTGAGATTTAAAACAGAAAAAGCAAGGGTATTATTTATAGTAGTCTTGTAGACTATAGAGGGACTTGATTGACTACTTGATTTGGAAAATGACTTGAATTCTAAGATCTAAAATTTTCTGTGGTATATCGTGCTGTCAATTGGAAAATATGCCATCAAGATTCGAATTCTTGCAAAGAAAGGAAGTACCTGTACCATCATGTCTTTTCAAATTGGAGCATGTTGGTAAGGCTGACAAAAGAGAATTTGTTACTTTCATTGGTTCGATTTAACATTTTACGGGTTCAGCATGTTTGAGATGAAGATATGATTAGGGAAGTAGAAGCAGAAGAAGATTCATGATTTGCAAATAAACTCAGCTGCCTTAGCCTTTATTAACCCGTGACCAGTCTTATGTCAATGTCATGTATGGAGTAGTGCTGTGTGATTTTGAGGAAACAAAAAATCATCTTACAAGCTTCGCAGCGTGAGCTCACTATTCATGACATTGGAATACCTCTGTCGAATGTTTTTTTCTTTTATATATGATAAGCATAAACCCAGACCTAACTTCTCTAGATAGAGCTTACTGTGAATGTATCAATGACTGACATTTTCATAAGAAAGAACATTTTTCCTTTTCAGAGGAGTTAAAGGAAGTTTTTGACTATGTTTTAAAGCTTAAATTTTATTGTACTATTTGTTTTTTATAAAATCTTATGTCCTGTTCATCGTATCCTTTCAGGATTTATTTATATATACACAATAGTATAGCTAGCTTAATTATATCAGATGTTGAAAACTGTACTGAGAAACAAAAACACCAGACTCATATCTTAGTTCATTTTCTATATTAGAGACATTTGTCAGTTTAGTACTTCCTGATCAATGGGTACAAACACATCTGAAGTGTGTCATATATATATGTATATATATGCATATATGATATATGCATAATATATTCTCTAGTGTATTTTATCTGTCGTTTATATTTTGTTTCCAACTCTCTCTAGATGTTGTTTAAGTGCTTTTAAAAAAAGTTACTGTGGGTTGTGCTTAAAGAAGCAGGGGCATATTACCCATTTATTTAGTATTTTGTGATGTTCAGGACTATATCTTGATGTACATTGTTATTTCAGACATATGTCGAGTTTGCCGCTGTGAAGGGACATCTGATAAACCGTTATATCACCCTTGTGTTTGTACAGGAAGCATCAAATATGTTCACCAAGACTGGTAAGAATAATTTGTATAGTTGCTGATTTAAAAAAAAAATTCAGCCAGTGGTTAGACCACCGGACTCATAATTGTGAGGTTGCGGGTTTGGAGGTTCGAGCCGCGGGCCCGACGTTGTGTCCTTGGAAAAGGCACTCTACATGAATTTTCATCACTTCACGCAGGTGGGAATGGGTATCCAGCCTTAGACAGCAAGGATCTTGTCAATATGTTAGTGTTTTAGCGCTCATAAATGGCAGCTTGCACTGTATGCTTCCCATGAAGTTGAGTTTGTTTCGGAATGCTATCAGGTCTGCTGGAGTAATAGTATAGATTGTAAAGTTCATAGAGCTTGCTGTTGAGCAGGGATTTACACTATACAAATTCTATCTATTATTATTATTACTATTATTATTATTATATTAATTTATTATAGGGCCTATTTTTTCATGGTATATAATTGTTGATACAGATACTTGTCTTGAGTGTTTGGTTTTAGTTTAACAACTTTTCTGCAGGTTTTTTTAAACATCAAAAAGTGTAGAATCTTAAGTTTTCTTTCTATCACCTACAGATGCGGTTTGTCCATAGAGCACGGTCGTGCAGTGCCGCCCAAAATGTTTTAACGTTGTATGACGTAAAGCACCCACAATAATAAAATAAAAGACGCCAGAAACAAACACTAGCCAAACATTATATCAAACGAGGCCCTCGCTGGCACCGTAACTGTCTTTTCTATTCTATAGCGCCGTAAAACATCTACTATGCCATGCCTAAGTTCATGCGCTGTATCTAAACATAACAGGATAGTCAACAGTGGAAATCTGACCTATAAATCGCTCTTTAGGGTAACCCAAAGGATGACGACACTTGTAGAGAGTTTGACAGTACATTAATATTAATAAGACGGCACATCTCAAATGTGCTCCTGCAGAATAGCGCCGAAACATAGCCCACAGCAGGCAATCTAAAAATAAACGTCATAGACTGTGCACTATTCCATACCAAAATTATGTGGGCCCCGGAGCAATCTAGTGGAGTGCTCAAGTGAATTGTGATTGGTTCATCACAGCGGATAAAATACCGTCCAGACCGCTCACTTAGTTTTCCTTCCCCGGTTCCTCCCCGACCATCCTCACCACCCTGCCCGCCCCGCCCGACAGCCCAGCGCGTAGTCATAAATCACTTGTCAGAGGGGTTAATTGGGGTGACCGCAGCGCCACTCCTCCTGTGCCGGGGCAGTAGTAAATATGGCGTTTTAGTGCAAATTGAAAGCCTCCTAACTCTGAAACTATAAATGCTACAAGGCCGATTGAGATTTCATTGTAACGTGCTATGTTTGACCTGTAGGCCGGTATAACTTGTTTTCTTGTAAGTCCGATTATATCAGTTTTACAAGGGATTTAAGTAAGTCTGTGATTTTCAAACTGGCATCTTCAATGTTTAGAACTTTTTCAGTTTGGATTTAGATATTTCAATCCGGCCCCCAACGATTTAAACAGAAATTCATGTATCAACTGTGGTGACAATTTTCATTTACATGTGCAAGTTTCAAATGCACGAAGTTATTCTATGATTTTCTGTGATTTTTAAAAAATACCAACCCACCACTCTGAACATTCATTCTTGCTGTTTTTAGTTTTCTTGCCTCTACTACATCTGATTTTCGTTGTCATTTTTAACAATATTTTTGTCATGGAGTGCCACACTCAACGTGATCATAGGGTGGGCATTGTGCTCAAACATCATCGCCTTCTTGAGGAGGCCGCACATGATATAGATGTACAGCTGGCACATGATATAGATGTACAGCTGGCCCATGATATAGATGTACAGCTGGCACATGATATAGATGTACAGCTGGCCCATGATATAGATGTACAGCTGGCACATGATATAGATGTACAGCTGGCACATGATATAGATGTACAGCTGGCCCATGATATAGATGTACAGCTGGTCCATCAATCTATGGAGAATTGCACGCCTGGAATAGGACAAAATGTGCATATCTACGGCAAAAAATGAAAGAGGGCTGGAAAAAAACGAGGAGGACATTCAATTGTTACAGGGCTGTCAGATTTTGTCGGATAATCCACGAGAAGCAGAGAGATTTGAGAGGAAGGGTTCTAGTGTACATGATCAGCTGTCAGAGTTAGAGTTTGAGGAGCTTATTCCAAGGTCAAGTCCTGCCTGCTCTGAATTTGATAACATCCTCAAACAACACAACATCACACCACAGGCCTACAACAGCCGTTCATTTATAGGAAGCCACTGCCATAAATTCATCACAGCCCATGTGTACAGACAGCTAGCATCATTTTTAGCAAAAGGAACAGTTGCATGTACACGAAATCAAAGCATAATAGACACTGCATTAATTGTTCTGAGAGAGAAATGTGTTCACGTAAAAGACACCTTCAAAGATATCCACACAGTAATTGCACATGGAAAGCCAATCACTTTAGAGAGAATACCACATATTCAGTCATGCATCACAAGATATATGTCTTTATACAGAAACATATTTGGCAAATAAAAGGTCTTGAGTCGATAGTGCCGTAAAACACGTGCTACTCAATCAAAATCGATCAAAAGAAAAGGTCATCCTTGAGAAACACTGCGTTCCTTGGATACAAAAATGTGGGTTTGGAATGGCCTTCCATTGTGAGCAAGGGGATGATCTCATTCATGCAACCGTGGCCTAACAGACAAAGAAAAACACGTCAAAACAATCATGCAGTCACAACACGTCCAAACCCACCCTGAGCTACTCTGTCGTGTGCACCACCCATCAAAAGACGAAAGCTTACAGCGGAAAAATGAGATAATTCCTCCAGTCCAGCAATATTGTGTTCTTTTTGTATTTTGTGTTTAAGTTGTGTTTTCATAAGTGTATCGGCAAGAAAAGATCTGTCCTGTAGTTACATGTATCGTGGATATCGCTATGAAAAAACAAGGTCGCAAAGCAAGAGTATTGCAAAAATCAACTTCAAACCTGAATAATTACGGATCCAGAAACTTCGTGCATATGCCCCTTTGTCAGTACAAATTTCATTATGTTCTCAGTCCTGTGTGCAAATTTGATTGAATTCGTTGGGGGCAATCATATTTAAATCGATGTTTATAATTGATTACCCATGACACATTTATCAAATTAAGTCCCCTTTTTGAGAACTTCACAGCTTTTAAGTGTAATGTACCATGTTCTTCCGATTTCTTCATTTTCTTCCTTAATATGTTGAATATTTACGTGGTCTTTATTAAAATATTCATCTTACATTAGCTTTGGCTCACTGTGCTGGTAAACTTTGCAAAAAATACAAGAGCGCTGCCGGTATTCGGCTGATTAGGGAAATCCCCGGCGGCGCAGGTAAATGACCCCGTGACCTGGGGAAGCGCGGGCTTGCTTGCCTCGCGCCAGCCGAAACTAAATGGGCGCTCTATAACCGCTGTGTCATTGTCTTGTTGTTATTTTAAGTGACTCTGTGACCGTGAACCTGAGGGTGGTGAACGTGACATACTTAAGTCGCCGTCCTATGAGTTGTGATTTTGAACGGTTTTGTAGTGGAGTGGTGAAAGGTATTACTTGAGTGTTCAGTTCTAATGCAGGATGAATGAAATTGACATTTAGCTAACAAACAGATTTAGTTCTAGAAGTCAAAGCCACAAGTAAAAAGGATGAAAATAAAAGCACAAGGTCTTCCTTCACCAACCCAAAGATCCTAAAATTATACACCATCCCGTTTACTCTGCCCTTGATTATCTTCAGCCTAAGATAGCTTAATTGTGCACGCCCACTTTTTAGATCCACGAGCCGCCCCTGATCACCTGGCTGTCTCCTGGTCTGCTTCATGATGTTTTCTTTTGATTTTTACTGAAAGTGAATTTTATCAGTCTCTTCTATTAAGGTAGTTATAAAATCTTATTGTATTATGCCTTTTATTACTTTAAGTTGAGCTGAGAGTGGGAAAGAAAGACAAAAGAGAGAGCAGGAAAGAAAATTTTAGTTTTCTGTTTTACTGTGCCCGGTATATAAAAAGGAATGACAGTGGAAATTTAGGTTTGATCAGAATTGGCAGATTGGGATATACGTGTTGACGTGTTTGCTGTAAATGTATACACTTCATGTTTCAGCTTGGTCCAGTGGCTCAAGTACAGCCGCAAGGAATATTGTGAACTGTGCAAGCACAGATTCTCATTCACCCCAAGTAAGTTGACTCGGTCAAGTTTTAATCTTATTCTTTGCTATTTTTAGTCACAAAGGTATTATTCAATGCTGTGAAACCACTTCTAGTTTAGTTTTAGTTTTAGTAGAGGTTTTACGGTGCTCGCAGCTGCATAATGTCATATGAGAGCCAGAAGATTAGAGGTGTTACAAGAGAGTAACAAACATAAAAAAGAAGAAGGGGAGATCAGGACAATAGATGTTTGATTGGAAAGAAGAAGCAAACCACACCAGAGCACCCACCAACCATCCACAAACCGCTCCGTATGCTCACAGTTTTAAAGAAACTTCGGAAATAAGCTAATAAGCTGTTTGAACACAATTTCTTTTCTTTGTTTCCGAAATGTGACTCATGTGGAAATGCTTTTACTTTAGCTGCTACTTGAATAGTTATAATTAGTTCATAGAATTTTTCACTTTGTAGGAGTGTTTTCAGGGTCATAAATATGGCTAGGTTTGAGGGTTCAAAAATGTATTGGGTTTGCTTACTGGTTCTCTGAACTCTTTGTGAATGCTTCAGACTCTCATGCATGGTCATTTCTTTTGTAAAGAGAGGGGGAAAAAAAGAGGATATTCTTTTTTTAGGATGTTTATTGATTTACTCGTATAGAATAGAAATACAAAACGTGCGCTCTTATGACCTTATGCAGTTGCAAGGGCCCAAAAACTTACCAAACTTAAATAGATACAAAACATTGATGTCAGATGTTACAAAAAGACTTCAGATTTCTGTTCATTCTGTAAGACAGAATCCATGAAAGTTTGCCATCTTACAATGAATTTTAAAATCAATTTGCAAGTGGACAAGGGGCACAGTGAGTAACTTTGAGTAATGTTTATAGACACAGAGTTCTAGCAGTGCTTATTTTGTATAGTCCTTGGTGAGTCTCTATAAGGCTCTAATGATACATTTATTACTTCTGTTCCCCAGTCTACTCTCCAGATATGCCAAACAGATTACCAATCAAAGACATTGTCAGTGGTTTGGTCACGAGCATGGCACGCGCTGTCCGCTACTGGTTCCACTACACTCTAGTAGCATTTGCCTGGCTTGGTGTAGTGCCTCTAACAGCCTGTAAGTGGGAATAAAACTGATTTTATTTTTGCCTTTGTACTTTACAAGGAGTGAGTAAATTAATTCTCGTGCTAAACTTGTATTATTTTGTATTTGCTGCTGGGGTGGGAATTGTAAGATGAAAGATAAAAGAAAAATTTGACAGAACCATTAAGAAAGCCAGCAAGATCTCTGGATATGATTTTATAAGAATGGATGAAATGTATAACACCACACGTATAAAAAAGATAAAAAGCATTATGAATGACCCATCACACCCCTTTTTCACACAAATTGTAAGATCATGCAGCGGCAGATATGTGCCTCCAAAAACAAAGAAAGAAAGATATGAAAGAAGTTTTTACCATCTAGCATAAGGCTTTTGTCAGAATGAGCATAGATGTGTGTTGCTCTTAGAGTATGTATCTGTATATAACTCCAAAGGTCTAGTATTTAAATTCCTGCATGTGGTTGAATGATGCATTTGATGTAAATGTACATTTTTTCAGCTTTACTTCTCCTTTCATATTGAATTTTAATGAGAGTAATATATATGATTAAAATTTTTTTAATGTATACCTGCATGTGTTTTTACGGTCCTGTACAGCCAAGGAAAATTTCCCTCTGGGATAATAAAGTACTGTCTTATCTTATCTTATTTTATCTTATTTTATTCATGTTAAATAAGGTTCAGTGGAGGCTGTCCTGTTTGCCAGCTGAATTCTCATACACTTTAGCACAAGAGCTTGAAGTGAAGTTGTGAAAGTGCAGTTGAACCTGCTCTAAAGGCCACCTGTCAAAGACAATTACCCATACAAATGACCACTTCCCACTTCACTCTTTGCATTTTGTCTGTATTATTATTACAATACGAACGCCTGTCTTTGACAACCACTTTTCTCCTTCACAATGGGTGGCCATCTTGGATAATGTCATTTGTACTTGGCCCAAATTATTCTTGAAATTTCTTCTGACCCACCCATTTCAATGCTGATTGTGTGCCTTTAAAATTATTCTCCCTTGGCATATATAGCGGTTTTTGTCTAAGCCACTGCAGGAGAGCCCCCTTGAACAAGCGAACTTGTAAGATTTAAAAGATTATTAAGTTTTACTGAATGTTTAATTCCTTGTTTTATATAACAGACATCGTCGTGTGATTTGATAAATTGCATATATTTTTGGTAAGCTATGTTGAATGTTTAGGCCATTCTGTATTGAATTATTTAAAAACTTTCATTTCCCTTGTCACAGGTCGCATATATCGATGTTTGTTCACTGGATCAGTGAGCTCTCTGCTGACTTTGCCTCTTGATATGTTGTCAACGTAAGTATCCAACAGTAGTGTTAGTACTGCTCCGTTGTTATAGTTGATGAAGTTTTTTCTGTAGTTTTGTGCTTTTTTTTGGTTTTGATGAAGACATTTTTTGCTAATTAGGCTAATGAGTGAGATGCATTGCCAGTTCCAATGATTAAAAGTGATAGATTGACAATTAATTGTTCTCTGTAGCATTGCCATATGTCTCTTTTGGCTTTGAACGTTTGTCTTTACATGTAGTGATCAGTTTTATATTACAAGATTTCAGGTAATGTGAAACATTTTTGTGCACATTATGGTGGGTATGTCTATAGTAGTTGGAATTCCCTCCTGCTTTCTTTACGAGGTGGCCTGAGGACTTATTGAACCTCTTTTGTACTGCAGCAATGTGTAAAGAAGTGTACTCTGAACACATAAAATGTTCTTGAAGTATGTGATGAATGGCTGTCTCCATGTTGTGGAAAATTCCCATGTATGTGAGATGAAAGACACATTTTCTCCTTAGGTTGCAAAAGAAAGTTGCTCTTTGAAAGAACAAGCAGTGTGAGACTATTAATATTCTACTGTTTACTTTTTTAATTTTAAGAGAAAGTTTGTTCATACGAGATGTTTTCTCTTGTAGAAGTCCAGTTGTCAAAAGGTGATATTTCGTGCTTTGCCTTTCAGGGAGAATTTAGTGGGTGACTGCTTCCAGGGTTGTCTGGTAGTGACCTGCACTTTGTGTGCATTTATCAGCCTGGTGTGGCTCAGGGAACAGATACTGCATGGAGGTGGACCAGAGTGGTTGGAGCAGTTAGCCAACCCCAACAATGCTCAAAGGGTAAGAGTGGGTGATTGGTGGGTGCTCTGGTGTGGTTTGCTTCTTTTTTCCTATTAAACATCTATCGTCTTTATCTTTCCTCCTTCTTTTTTGTGTTTGTTATTCTCTTGTAACACCTCTAATCTTCGGCACTTATATGACCTTATTTTGTTGCTAGTGCCGTATAACTCTTACTAAAACTAAAGGGTAAGAATTCCACTTTCATGTTTCCATTCTTTGATCATGCATCGTAAAACCATTGTATTGCTGTCGTCCTATGTTTGCTCTCTTCCCAATTTTATCTTCTGTTTCTGTACAGTTAAGCACCACATGCTCCTTAACCCTGTTCGTACGCCCTTGGGTCATTTTGTACCCCCGGAGTTGCATTCTTCACATTTAAGAATACTTCTTGTAGGAAGATCTCTTTGAAACTTTCAGTATTTCTCAAAAAACCGTTTTGACAGACTGCTATGCAAAGCGTACGGATCAGATTCACGAGTAAATTTCCTCTTTGGAAAGAGGTTGCACAGAGTTCCCCACGTTGTATGGATACGATAGTAAAACACAACATACAGATAGGGTTAAAAAAGCACCTTTATCTCAATGCGCCACATACCCACGCACAGCAGTCCAGATTAATATTGGCGACATGTTGGGTTTTGTAACAGCACCAAGGGGGGCAAATACACTTCTTAGACAATAACAGGAGCCCATCTTTACTGAGGATAAATGTCAATATAAAGAACATCGTTGATCGTATGGTTTAGTTTAGTTTGTTTATTCATAATGATAATAATAAATAGCATTTGTATAGTGAATATCCCCGCTTGACAGTAGTCTCTATGTATTTTACACTATACTATTGTCCTGGCAGACCCTAGAACACTCAGAGACATTCTTGACTTCCTGGGAAGCATACAGTGCAAGCAGCTGATCAAGGACTCAAACACACTAACTGCCCTACTAGTATGTTTTGAATTCCATTTTGACAGTTATAAGTTATACCAGGGATGCCACTTTTCTGCTTTTTTCTGATATTTCCGATATTTTGATCCTGATCCGCTATTCAGGTATTGAGATCGAGATAAAATCTTTACTTGGAAATAAAAAGAATACCCCCCCCCCCCCCCCACACACACACACACAACAACTTGCACCAAATGTTCTAATAACAGAAAAATGAAAACTTTGCCATAAGTTCAGATAACGGGGAGAAAAAACCCCGTGGAAAATTTGCGCTAATCTCAGCAAGTGATTTCTCTCTATGCACACCTTTTTGGTTTCAAATTGATGTTCATCGCGTGGATTTTCAGCTGTTTTCAAAAAAGTTGAGTGGCAACCCTGTTATACTTTAGGTACCGCTCCATTATTTCTTAAAAATGTAATATGTGTACAGTACCTTTTTAATGCTCTTCTTTTGGTTGTTTTTTCCTTCCCAGAATGTTGTTGGTGGGGGTGGTGGCTTCAACAACTTTAATCTCATGGGAGGCTTTGGTGGAGTTGGTGGTGCTGTGGGTGTTGGAAACGCTGCTGCCAATCACAATGCCGCACAAGAGCCAGCTGACCAGCTGATCGGCGGTGGGGCTGCAGGGGCAGGAAATGAAGGTAGAGGCGAGGCAGTGGAGGCTGAGGAGGTCATAGGAGACGAAGCCAATAATGGGAACAACGCTGCTGCGCAAGGTGAGCTGTCTTGATTCTTGTTTGTTCTCGTGTACTGGGATATTGTGTGTGTCGATTTTCAGATTGGGAGATCATTACCTGTATTTTCAGATGTAGAACTATATATGTCATTGGCTGATGGTTTGCTTCCTCCTCTTCTTGTCCGTTTTGTTCCTCATGGTATGTGCCCATTATTGTGCAGTCTCACTGTTAGCTACACACCAGCCTATGATTGCATACCTGACTAGTTGACCACTGGGCAAAGACACTTTTTTCCCCCCTTAAACTCATCGACTTTCTATGGAGGGAACTTCCAAATTTCTTTCTTGGGTGGTTGGTGGGTGCTCTGGTATGGTTTGCTCCTTCTTTCCTATCGAACATCTATCATCCTTATCTCCCCTCCTTCTATTTCGTATTAGTTACTCTCTTGTAACACCTCTAATCTTCGGCACTTATACGACCTTATTGTGTTGCAAGTGCTGTAAAACACTTACTAAAACTAAAATTTCTTTCATGTAGTTTTTCTGTCTAGTTGTAGATGTTTGGAAAATATAGTTATGTTTAATACTCCTGAGGTAAACAAAATGTTTATTTTTCATTTTTTCTCAGACGACAACAATTGGAATCCTATCGAGTGGGATCGGGCAGCTGAAGAGTTGACGTGGGAAAGGGTGAGACCGTAATTTTGATTTAGCTGTATGGCTAAAGCCTTGCTCAAAGCTTCTTCTGGGAGTAAAATGTGATTTACGGTCAGTCATGATTTAATAAATTGATTAAGAAGTTTTGACATACCAGTAGGAAAAAATCTCAATGTGATATTTGTTATTTTGTTGCCCCCTTTTTTCTTTAGTGAGCTGTTTCGGTACTGATGGATAATTTCTGAAGTACCCTTTTCTTGATTATTGTGCCAGTGTAAGACAATGGTAGATGTTTGTTCTTTTTTACTTTAGCTGATTGTGGGAGAAAAAAAAGCTGTGGTTTAAGAGACCTCACTGCTGGAAACAAATTTTCATTTAATATAGAGTTTTGGTAAAAGTATGTAATGTTTATAAGATGAAGGTCATATTGACAAAAGTTCTTAAAAGTCCTTGTTTGGCAGTAGTTTGAAATTGAACAATTTATAGGCAACAGCAGTAGGCAGAGCGAATGTATTGTACTGTGGGAGATGTAATAACATAGTCTGTCCGAAAATCCAAACTTTTGAAGTGTTTTCTTTTAGCTTGGCCTCATTCACCTTTTGGGCTTCTTCAAGATGAGATCCAAGATGAACTTGTTTTAGAAGTATGTGGGTGAATATGATTTAAATCCCTTTTTTTGTTTGTCTTTGCAGCTCCTTGGGCTTGATGGCTCGCTCGTATTCTTGGTGAGTCCTTTGTTTGCTAGAGATGGATTTAAATCTTTGTTTATTCCAGTTCATTTTAACCATGCTGAAAATGAAAGATCCAAGCTGAAAGTAAAAATTTCTTGTCATTTTGTTTATTTCTTGAAGTAGGTGAGTTATGGTCACAGCAATGCAAAAGTTGCGCATAGATATGCCTGCAAATGTGAAGTGCATAATAATAATAATTTCATGCTTGTAATTTTTGCCTTGATGGCACTTGATTCGTTTATTTTCCGCCTAAACTGTTGATGGGAAGAGTCTATCTATTCTCACGTCTTTTTCCCTCATTTTACCCATTGGCTACCTTCTTTTCTGTGCAGCCTTATAAGTGGATAGTTGGTTTGTGCTCTTTTTTTTAGTGTTACTATTTACTATTTTTCTCTAATATTTTCTTGGAGAAATGTAAGCATTGTGGTGGTTACCTTACCGACTTGCTGTAAGTTACAACTGGTTAGCAATTGGCCCATGTGTTTTTTTTTGGTTTTTAAAAAAATAGCTCAAATCAAATTGTGATTTTGTATTTTTCCTTTTACTCCACAGGAGCATGTGTTCTGGGTTGTTTCCCTCAATACTCTCTTCATCTTAGTGTTTGGTAAGTGAATCATTTGCAGTTCTTTGGTAGAATCTATAAAGAGGTGATATGTAGTCTGGCAGATATTAACCCAAGTTATACATTTTTACCATTTTGAAACTTATTTTTTTACAATTTACCGCTCAAAACTATATAAAGCATATTGATGATGTTATGTTCTAACTATGTAACTCCCCCCCCCGGGGCAGTGCCACTGACTGTAGTGTCTATAGGCCATTCCCAAAGGGGGGACATTTCTCATTCAAGCATAGTAGAATTGTAAATGGGCTGACTCATGTCACGCTCATAACCGTGCCTGATCTACAACAAGGAACTGCTGCCTTTTCTTTCCTGATCCTCGCTATTGTCATTTTCTTCTACTTCTTTTGTATGTTTGTCACTTTCTTGTGACCTGCTATTTCCGGGGTGCCTTGATAGTCGAAGCAGACCTTGTGCTGTTGAAGCTAGAGAGGTGAGCAGTCTATGTCTGATTCCCTGTAAAGACTTCTCTGTTGACACCTACCCTTTGGCGCTCATATGACCTTATGCAGTTGCGAGCGCCGTAAAACCTTCTACTATAAAAAAAATATATAACTATGTAACTGGAAGAAGTTGGTCAGTTTTTTTGTTGTTGTTGCCTTACCATCCCCAAGGTCTGTCTGTGGCACTTCAGTAACTACTACTTCAGTAAAAATCAGGAGTTAGTATAAATTATAAATAATATAAAAATACTATGTGCTAATTTTTATGTTGGCCCTCTTTACCTAAGGACTGGAGAAAGAAAGTGAAGAAGGTTTTTTTTTTGTTTGGTTTTTTTTTTGGTCATGATTGCCACATATCTCATGGATTTGTCTTTTGTTTCAGCATTTTGCCCTTATCATATTGGCCACTTTGCTCTGGTTGGAGGAAAAATGGATCATCTAGTAAGTGATATTGTGTTATAGTTTAGTTTCTTAAAAAAAAAAAAACTGCTTTAGTTAAAAATTTCATCAGTTTTTCTTTATTTCAATGATTTTTATCAGGGTCATTCCAACCCCACTAATCTGTTATTGTCTCGACTTAAATGTCACTGTGGAAACAAACTTACAACCTTCTTCGTGCGCTCATATGACCTTATGCAGTTATGAGCGCTGTTAAACTCTTACTAAAACAAACAAAAACTTACGATACAGAGCACATACCTCAGTGCTGTCTGATACTTTCCATAAGATCAGGCCTTTTGTTCAGGCAAACCTTTTCAAAAGTCTTTCAAGTAGCTAGCATTTTAAGAATTTAAACAATTATACGAATGATCCCATTGTGTCATCTATTCCTGAGATAAGCATTTTAAGGCAATAGTGGAGTGGAAAAAGAAGTCTGACTTTCGTTGTTGATCTGTAGGGAACATCATCATTGTCATTTGTGTCACGACATTGTGGAATCAGGAACTCGTCAATTTTAGGGCATATGGAGTTTCTGGTATCATCTTTAAGCGTGTTCATTTGTCTTGGTTTCAATGAAAAAATTGATCCATCTATCTTTTAAAGAAGTCGAGATATTTGGGATTGAAGGAGGTGGGGGTCACCTGTTTTTAGAGGTAAAAGAAGAGAGAAAATGGCTGCCAAAGTTTGGTGCCTTCCAAAGCGTGAGAGTCCTTGAAATGTATAAGTTTAGATTGTTTTTGCCTTTCTTCGTTTTTCAGTAAAAGCCACACAGCAAATTGTTTTTAAATAGACAGAAAAGGTGCTGAGTTAAATTTTCAAAATTCGACAAAAATTGCCAAATGGGAAGAAAAATGTCATTTTCTTCGCTATCATTATTTTGACGAGGACCTGATTTCACCGCTCTGCCTCACATTTTACTTTTTGGTTGTGTCAGGTCCCACAACATCGAGATGAGAGTTTGTTGACAGGTCACTAACCTTAATATATATATAATAATGTGACTGTGGGTGGTTGGCGGGTGCTCTAGTGTGGTTTGCTCCGTCTTTCCTATCCAACATCTGCTGTCCCTATCTCTCCTTCATGATTGTATCTCATATGTGTACACCATTGGGGGGAAAAAATTGTTATTTATAAGCTTTGGTGTATTATGCACTGATTTTAATGTACATGTCAAAAGTGTTTTTTTGTCCCATAGCCCAATGTCTATTTTTTTACTTTCAGGTGTTGGCATCCCACTTTGAAGGCCTCTTGACCACTCTGACTGGATATTTGGTTATTGCTGTCTCCCTGCTGGCTGTTTACTCAGTCTGCTCTCTCACGAGGTTGAAGAAGTAAGTGTCAAATGTAGAACCAACTCTGATGATTGTAGTGCCCTGCCTCAGGCCGGCGTCCTGCTATAAAGGTTGTTTAACATGTTTCTTTTAAGGGAGGTCTTCACAGGTTTTAAGGGAACTTGATTGTGAATGAAGTATTTTAACCCTATCCATACGACTGGGGTCTTTTTGTACCCCAGGGGTTGTATTCTTCACATTTTAGAATACTTCTAGTACAAAGATCTCTTTGAAACTTTCAGTATTTCTCAAAAAATCATTTTGACAGACTGCTATGCAAAGCGTACGGATCGGAATAACGAGTAAATTACCTCTTTTCAAAGTGGGGGGATAGAGATCCCCTCATCATATGGACACAATAGTAATACACGACGTATGAATAGCGTTAAGTCAGTTACTATAGATGGCCTTCACTGGGTGATTGGGGAGCGCCACTGGTTGTTCCCTTTTCTGTTATTTGGGTTTGCTGTTCCGGTCTGCTTTGCTTTTTGCTGCACCTTATGACCGTTACTGAGTTGATGTGCGTCTCTTCACTCAGACACTAAACATGGCCCTCAAGAGGGCACAGCTGTGTGTTACCTTCGTGAGTTTGACATGGATTTCCCCCACTGCAAGCCCTTTTGAATCTCTCTCTCTCTCTCTCTTCTGGCGCTGTGGCTTCATAAACGGTCAGCGATGCTGACAGCACGCAGGAACTCAAGACTTGCCCGGGGGTCCTTAAAAAGTGCTGAAAGTGGGTTACTGAAATGTCCCAGTAGACGGGTTCTAGCACGATAGCTGGCGGGACATCTCAGGAATACATGGTCCATAGTTTCGTCTTCCTCCTTGCAGGCTCGACAGGACGGATCTGGGTTGTCCGCTGGCGCAATTTTGTGTAGATATAATCTCAGCTTGGGCAATTTTCCACCAGTTCTCATTTGCCCTTTTGAATGAAAGGAAAAGGGAATAAATACTTCAACATGCTCTTCAACCATTTTTACACTGATGTATTAAGCTGTAACCACAAATCAATAGTTCAGATAGATTCCCAGTTTATCTATTTTTTGGTCTTTATCTGTCACCTGTTGTGTACACTCTAGGTAGGCCTACAAAATTGTGTTTTTTCTGCATACTTGAGAGGTGTTCCGAATGAATGATTAAAAGCCACCTCCACAACAAATCAGCTAGAGCTGTATATAACTAAAAAGATGAAAGAATGGGCTTTAAGTGTATGTGTGAGATAACTTTAAAGAATACAAAGGACCTTTTGTAAAATGATTAAAAACTATGTTTAAGTACTGAGAATGTCCGCTTGGCCAAAAATTTCTAAAGTTCTTGACTAAAGCGCTTAAGTGTCTCCATGCTTGTTCAGTTCCGAGGAACTTTTTATTCCCTACCGAATAGTGGAATGGTTGGGTAAAAAAATAAGATAGAAAAGGAGTTGGTTGAAGAGTGTGTGCATCTATGTGTAAAAGACAAGGGAAGTTGACACAGAGAGTGTCAATTTTTTGGTGAATTTTCTTTTCATCAGACAGTAGTGTTGGTTGGTTTTATTAGAACAATTCTTTGTACCGTAGTTCTATTTCTCTTGTGAGGGGAGGCTCCAACATCAAATAGTCGGGGGGGGGGGGGGGGGGGGGGGGGCCTCCAACATCAAATAGTCAGATTCCATCATTTATAGTCCACTTTTGAAACTATAGTGAAAATAAAGTGTTGGCCACCAACATCAACAGTTTTAAGTTTTGTTTGCTATAAATTGTTCTTTATGTTGTCTGATGAGCCTTGTCTTGCTGGTTAGTGTCTCACCCTCATCATGGGTGGTTAGCGGGTGCTCTGGTGTGGTTTGCTCCTTCTTTCCTATCTAGCATCTTTCATCCTGATCTCCCGTCCTTCTTTTTTATGTTTGTTACTCTCTTGTAACACCTCTAATCTTTTGCACTTATTTGACCTTATTGTATTGCAAGTGCTCTAAAACTCTTTCTAAAACTAAATCACACTCATCCCTCCATTACAACCCATGCTGGTCTCTTTCAGGGGGCAGAGGATTTTTGGGCTTTGCTATGTGGTAGTGAAAGTGAAACTTCTTGTCGTCATGGAAATTGGTGCATTCCCTCTAGTGTGTGGCTGGTGGCTTGACATTTGCTCTCTGGTACGTATTGATTTTAGTCTGATGTAATTTGTCCTAGCAAAAACGGTGTAGAGTGTTTGTTTGGAAAACTTATAACGCTGTTTGAGCTTTTACTTTGTTTTGTGTGCCTTGTGATTGGAGCCTGTGGGACTTTAGTCAGTAAGCTTCCAATTCTTTAGTCGGTAAAATTTTGTTGATAACCGATAATGGCTTTCAGATTATTTCCTGGCCTTTAGAAACATGCTGGACTTGCATTTCTGAATGTCGCAGCAACTATTTATAGTGGTTCCTTTGAAATATTTATAGTGATTCCTTTGAAATATTTATAGTGATTCCTTTGAAAGAAAAACATTAAAAATTTGTTTGTCATTTTTTATGTTCTTATTTCAAAGGCTTCATATTGTTACAGGCTTTTTTAAAAGAGATTTTTGTTTGATTTTCAAACCCCTCTTGATTGTGCTTTTTGTAACAGCTGATTATGTGGTCCTAGTAAGGCAAACTAGTTGAGTACACATAAAGGGAGTAGATGTTGGTTATATTTTTTTATTTTTAAGAATGTGTCTGTATTTGGTCCCTGTCCAAGTGACTGTAATTGCAAACATGTTTATCTTGGGGTCATGTTCTCTTGCCGCTACAAGGTTGCATACAGACCAACACAAAGATAAGACTTTTAGTCATTTTCAATTGAGAATATGTGGTAAAAAAATCTCACTCTGGAAATAATGATCAGTTATGTTCTGTTGGATGTTGGGTCTATGCTAAATCTAAAACCATGAATCTGCTAAATTTTGCCTTTTTGTTTTCCAGTCCATGTTTGACGCAACTCTGAAGGACCGGGAGTCGAGCTTTTTGTCTTCCCCGGGCACTTCCATGTTCATCCACTGGTTGGTTGGCATGGTATACGTCTTCTACTTTGCCTCCTTCATATTGTTGACCAGGGAGGTGCTACGGCCAGGAGTACTTTGGTTCCTCAGGAATTTGAATGACCCAGAATTCAATCCTATCCAAGAGGTAGGCTTTGCCCTTAATTTCTGAAGATTGTTTCTTTTTAAATCATATTGGGAACATAGAGACAGTTGTTTATTTATAATAATGGTAATAGTATATGGCATTCCTGTAGCACTCAACCCCGATTAAAGAACACATGCTCTGAGCGCTTTACAATACAACAGTAACATGTAATCAGTACATTGTGTTCTGACTAAATAAAAATCTCTCTAAATATTTATCTAATTAATTTGTGTTGTTAATTGTTTATGGAAAGACTCATGAAAGACCTCTATCTTCTTTTTATACTCCTCTCACTTTATGTTGGGAGGTTTGTTTGTAAATAATTCATTTGCCTTGATTTGTATTTATGAATGTGAGTAAGTGATATAGAGAATGTGAATTTTAAAGTCTTTAAATATGATGCTCTTGAGCATACTGTCGCAACTTTTCTAAAGCATATCCTTGACAGTTTTCAAGATTTTGAATGACATTTTTAACTATGTTCAACTGATTCCCCCCGCCCCCCCAGATGATTCACCTCTGTGTACTGAGACATTTCAGACGATTTATCGCTTCTGTGGTGAGTAAAAACATCAGGTTTTGCTCCTTTTTTCTCAGCATTTCTATATTTTTAAAATATAGGATATTCATTTCTATTTTTTTAATGACAATTTTAGTGGGTGGTTGGCGGGTGCTCTGGTGTGGTTTGCTTCTTCTTTCCTATCAAACATCTATCTTCTTTATCTCCCTTTTTTCTTTTTTATGTTTGTTACTCTCTTGTAACACTTCTAATCTTCAGCACTTATATGACCTTATTGTGTTGCAAGAGCCGTAAAACTCTTACTAAAACTAAAACTGGCGATTTTGATCAGCAGCAGATGTTATCAGCATACTGATGATTATTTTGCTTGTCAGATATACCCTTGCAATAACAGTGTTTGAATTTTTGAAGTTTCTCAGTCCAGAGTTCAGTTGCTGTAAGCATGAGAGGTCGAAGAGTGGTCCTTGTTCTATTTTAATGGATTGTTGAAAGTGTTGTCAGTGTGGCCCCCACTTTTCCTTTTCCTGAATAAACTTGCATGAACAGATAAGCGTACATTTTTTCTTCCGTGCACATATCGTTGGAGGTTACTCTTGTGTTGTTCTCTTCTTGTGCTTAATTGACCCATCACTCCCCTTTTCCACACAAATTGTAAGATCACGCCGCAGCAGATATGTACCTCCAAAAACAAAGAAAGAAAGATATAAAAGAAGTTTTTTACCATCTAGCAGAAGGCTTTTGTCAGAATGAGCATAAACGTGTTGCTCTTAGAGTATGTATCTGTATATAACTCCAAAGGTCTAGTATTTAAATTCCTGCATGTGGTTGAATGATGCATTTGATGTAAATGTACATTTTGTCAGCTTTACTTCTCCTTTCATTTGAATTTTAATGAGAGTAATATATATGACTTAAATTTTTTTAATGTATACCTGCATGTGTTTTTACGGTCCTGTACAGCCAAGGAAAATTTCCCTCTGGGATAATAAAGTACTATGTTATCTTATCTTATCTTATCTTATCTTGTCTTATTAAATGATGTCATTGCTTCTTATTCAGTTGCTTATTGGCACCAGTCTTTTCTTATAGTGTAGTAAAACAAGTAGGATATCTGTTTATGAAATCAGTGTGGTCAGAATATTCAAATGTTGTTCAAAAAGGCAGACTGGTTGACGGACATGCAAATGGAGTCAGTGGGTGGTTGGCAGGTGCTCTGGTGTAGTTTGCTCCTTCTTTCTTATCAAACATCTATTGTCCTGATCTCTCCTTCTTTTTTATATTTGTTACTCTCTTGTAACATCTCTAATCTTCTGCACTTATATGACTTTATTGTGTTGCAAGTGCCATAAAACTCTTACTAAAACTAAACTAAAACATTGTTTCTGAAACATGTTGTAATATTGCATGACTATGAGTGTTATATTTCTTGTCTCAGGTTATTTTTGGCAGTGCTGTTCTCCTCATGCTTTGGTTGCCAATCAAGGTCATCCGTCTAGTATTTCCTGGCTTTCTACCGTACCGTGTGGTCGTCTCCAGGTAAGTAATTTTCCCAATGACTGAATTGAACGTGAGTTTAGAATCTACTTGTGAAAGAGTGATCTGAATAATACCTCGGCGTTTGTAGTTGTACACGTAGCAGTTGATCGAAAGGAGCTCAGGTGCACGGGTCCTGTAGGGACAGGGAATCAGGGCCCAAAGGGTTAATCTCAAAGCGTCATCATTGCCATCATCATGATCTTCAACTTAATGGTTGTTATACAGGAGTTAAAAAATACATGGAAACATTTATAAATTATTACCGTATGTACAACATTTTTCAACATACTCCTTTTTTAGGTTTAATGAGGAATTTCATCATCTTCATTATAGTTATCGTCATCATCATGATCTTTTTCCTGCAAGTGGGTGGTTGGCGGGTGCTCTGGAGTCGTTTGCTTCTTCTTTCCTGTCAAACGTCTATAGTCCTTATTTCTCCTCCTTCTTTTTTGTGTTTGTTACTCTCTTGTAACACCTCTAATTTTCTGGCGCTTATATGACCTTGTGCAGTTGCGAGCACCGTAAAACTCTTACTAAAACTAAAACTAAACCTGCAGTGAGGCCCCAGTGAGTGAGCTGTCGCTGGAGCTGCTGCTCCTGCAGGTTGTCTTGCCCTCCCTGTTGGAAGCTGGCCACACCCGGGCCATGTTGAAGAAACTTGTGGAGGGCTGGTCAAAAGCCATGGCTTGGTTGCTGGACCTGAGATCCTACCTCATCGGAGACGTTGCTCTGGACGGAGAGGTTGGTCTAGTTTTCTCTTTTCCCCAAGTACTTGCTATTTCTGGAGGTACAGAATGTTCCAGATCTTTCATTTTTTTCTAATGGTGTGTTTTCCTTTTTCTCTATTTGATAACCATTCAGTGTATGCTCTATACAAATGCTATTTATTATTATTATTATCATTATTCTTTCTGGAGGGTGGGGATATTAAATGGATCTTCTGCCTGTCTGCCATGGTGCCACCCTTCTAATGATGGAAAAGTTTGCATTAACATTTTTGCTCAATTACACATGTTCACATGAATTGTTGTAGTTCTTTTCATGTACATTTGTTTTAACCCTCGTCCTGCGGGAGCCGGGTTAATGTTGCCCGATAAGCCTATTTCGGCACCTCGCCTACGTTCTGGTCCCGAATCAGTGTAGCTCCTGGCTCAGCTGCAGCGCGCATCATCTTACTTGAAATTCGGGTCCTGAGTCGGATCCCCATTCACGCAGGTCAAGTGTGTGTGCGTCAGTCTGTTTGAGTTTGTGTGCGTTTGTGGCCTTCTTCTAGATCCGCCTGCGTTGGTTCGTAATCGAGGCATACGTCTCATTCAAAACACGCCAAGTTGGTAGCTCTAGATGTGCGTCCAATGAAATTATAGAAGAAATTGACCCACTTAGACATGAGGAGCTCGAAAGGATAGTCAGGAAACAAGACTTCCATTTTTCTGTACAAAATCTTTCAAATGAGCTTGATTTTGTATGAAATGATACTACCTGATAAAAAATAAGCTTGTTTGATAGTTTTGAATACCATTGTGCAGGTACAAAGAACAATTTGAGTGTAAAACATTCGGAAATTGACCTATATTATCTCCTTTCGAACCTCAGGTCATTCATAACAACAAGAGCGTCCAGAAAGGTTATTCGAATGGGCGTAACTAATCGTAATGTCTTATCAGCTTGTGAGAGGGGGTTATTCAAGTGTTTGTGACACTTTATAAATAGAAAGCTATGAAAGATAGAGCGTTATTTTCTTCGTCGATTAATACACTCCCACGGTATTCATGGTGAAAACACACGTTTCCCGGCGCGCGCGCGCTGTACACCAACTGTACACACTGAGTGACCCCGGTGGCCTGCCCGGCTCATCCGACGGTAATCGGTTGCTGATAAGATTCGCATCTCGGCACAGACGCAGGACAAGAGTTAAATATACAGCTAGTGCGTGGCTACAGCTGTTGGTGATAAAATGATAATAAATCAAACCAACTATAGATCAGAACAGACAAGACAAAAGTGGAAAATTGTGACTAATGCCATCTCCCCCCCCCCCCGTGTACTCTTCGATTGTGTGTGATGTTTTTATGTTTTTACTTCTTTTGAACTACTATCCTGTAAATTTTAGGAATCTTGCAATGTCAAAGGGCAAGTAATAGGCTAGAAAGAGAAGTTTGTATCTAAGTGTCTTCTTGAAGTTCACCTTCACGATCCTCAACAGTTATAGTTACCAAGCCAAGGCCCCCCCCCCCCTGCTCCCTGTAATCACCACCACACTCTCAGGTTTTCACTCATCGCATTGACGTCTCTTTCTTCCCACGGCACCCAAAAGGGTATAAGCGGCGGATAAAACTAAAGTAAAACAAGCATTGACAAAGTTTTACTGTTGACAGGATGAGGCTAACATCGTTGACAGTAATGAACCTCACATGCCAGCAGAACCCCGACTAGCCAACGGGGGGCAGCCCGTTCCCCCTGCCCATGACCTTGGGGATGGTCTGGGAGCAGCACACCAAGCCATGCTACAAGGTGGAGGACCCACTGGCTTTCAGCCTTACAAGAGGCCTTCATTTTTTGCTGCCAGGGTGAGTGGAGAGGCGAGCAAGACTGGTCATTGTCTTGACCTTTCTCAGTACGATTGTTGTTGGAAAACTTATCCTTGTCACTGGGCTCTAAGTCTTTCTGATGTTACTGAACCTTGCCACTGCGCTCTAAGTCTTTCTGATTGTACTGAACCTTGTATTTTGTGTTTGTTACTCTCTTGTAACACCTCTAATCTTCGACACTTATATGACCTTATTGTGTTGCAAGTGCCGTAAAACTCTTACTAAAACTAGAAAAGGTCAACCATAGAAATGCACTGCAAGAAGAATTGTTCTTACTCAGCATTTACAAGACATTTAACCGAGTGTCTTTTTTCTACTAATTTTTAATATAGTTCAATCTTCCATCCTAAAGCAATTCTTTAATATTTGCTGTGCTCATGAGCAGCTAACTTCAATACTAAGCCTCAGCTTAAGTTGGTTAAATAGGGGATGTTTCGAGCAAATTGGAAGCTTGTTAAAGTAGTTCTCCAAAATATCTGAGAACATGTGTTTTTTTCCCCCAGATCTGTTCCCTTGTTGTCCTCATGTGCATCACCTTCTTCTTAGCAAGCACAGTCTCATTAGTATTACCAGGTGAGCGAATGGGTATAGTTTTCATGTATTTATGTATGTGTATAATATGTATGTTTGCCATTGTAAAGCAAAGTGCCCTTCTGGGGCAATTAAAAGTGTAATTTATGTTTTTATTTATTTTTTTATTTCACTATCTTTATTTATTTATTTATTTATTTATTTATATTTACTTTATTATTATTATTTTCAAAAAGTATTTTTTGTCTTTTTTTTTTTTTAAGCCGTACCCAAAATTATTTGTGAGGAGGATACTAGTTTCCTCTTGTATTTTGTTGAATATAGAACTCACTTAATCTTTAGAGGCCGAATTCAGGAGGGGCAATGCGGGTAAAAATACTTTGAAAGTCAACTTTAAATAGGTCCCAGTTTTGATTCTCTGTTAAGGTGGGTGGCACAATGTTTTCATAGCCTATTTAGCATTTTTATTTCAGACTTTTGGCAATGTAGAATGATTGCTATACGCAAGGGACTTGCAGGGAAAGATACCTAGATTTCTTCGAAGTTTCAATTTGGGAAGAAGACTGCAATGCAATATCCTTGGTCTAAATATGATCAAAATACAATAAACCTGCTCTAATGGCCGCCTGTATAATACAATTACCTGTACAAAAGGACTCTTCCCGTTTATTTCTTTGCCTACTTTTTACAGTGTAATGAGATTGGCCACCTGTTTGTTGTTGTTATCGATCCAGCAACAGCTGGGCTCTCGCCCTTCTGTCAAATGCCATGTAGTGATAAGTGCAGGTTTGCTGCAGTTGCTGTAATGTTCCATAGAGTGTGTTGTCAATGTTAGGTCTCGGAGGGAGAAGGGTAGCTCTGATGTCATTTAGGGCTGTGCAGTTGAACAAGGCCACCTGTTTAAAACGTCCATTTTACTCTCCACGTGTGGTGTGAGGGTCACTCGTTAGAACAGCTATATTCTGTCATCTCATCATGCAAAACTATATTTGTGAGGCAGCATGGACTCTCAAGCTGTGGAAATAACTCAACTTTGGCAGTCATTTTCTCACTAATTTTACCTCTGAAACCAGGCAACCACCTCCTCTATCGATCACCAATATCTTGGCTTGTATCAAAGATAAATGGATATTTTAAAAATCAAAATCAAGGCAAATGGCTAGACTTTAGGACGACACCAATAACTCTATATGCCCCAAAATTGACGAGCGCCTGATTCCACCACGTCGTGACATGTTTTTCTCCCTTTTGCCTGTGTTCAGTGTTCATGGGCCGGCAGTTGATGTGGCTGTGGGTGGGGGACACCAAGATCCACGAGCTGTACACAGCAGGCTGCGGCCTGTACATCTGCTGGCTTTGTCTGCGAGTGTCGACAGTGGTGGCCGGCTGGTACCTGCAGGGATGGGCCATCATCAAAGCCAAGCTCCGCCTCTGGGGCTTGCTCGTAAGTTCTTGAATCCTTTTCTTTGCTTTTGTTTCAAAGCCTGTACTTATATCGGCAGCATCTGTGATGTAGTAATAAGGCTCTTTGTCTTGTATTCTCAAGACGTGAGTTATGTTTCCCCGTAAGGTAAATATTTTATCAAGTATCTTCATTTTTTTCTTCTTTCCTTCCTTCCTCTGGCTGGCCTCCGTTAAGAGGGCGGCAATCTGCTACAGGCTGACAGGTAAGAGGCAACCTTGTGTGGCCTCGTTCAGCGTACAATCTTCATTTTTCCGCTGGGATATTGTCACCTAGAACTATTTTGTCCAATATACACTCAATAGTTAAGTGTTCTATGGGCACAAAAGTTCAGAGGCAATGATGTAGTACCTGATAAGGCAAATGTTGGCCAAGACAGGCAGAGTCAAGTCAGTCATAGTTTTATATTGTCAAAATGTTCCTATAGTATGCTTCCCAGAAAGTTGAGTTTGTTTCAGAATGCTCTCAGGTCTGCTGGGGTAATAGTATAGATTGTGAAGCGCATAGAGCTTGCTGTTGAGCGGGGATTTGCGCTATACAAATGCTATCTATTATTATTATTAAAACATGTACAATAATTTTTTGCAGTTCGAGATCAATGAAAGTAATTTATTGGGCATTGCTTAGCATACAGTTTTGCTATCAGCTATGAAACATTTCATGAAGATAGACATATGTTTAAGTCAAGGATTATCGTCAAACTGAGCTGATTTCTTCTCCTGCCCTTGTGCAAGCAATGTGAGAAGCTGAATCTACCTGTTGTAGTAATTTCATATTTAATTCTCTTCTGTAAGTCGAGTATGTAGTAAAGGTATTGTATCTGTCTGACCACAGATCGTGGGTGGTTGGCACGTCTATCGTCCTTATCTCCCCTTCTTCTTTTTTATGTTTGTTACTCTCTTGTAACACCTCTAATCTCTGGCGTTCATATGACCTTATGCAGTTGCGAGCGCTGTAAAACCTCTACTAAAACTAAAACTGACCACAGATCTTCAAGTCGCTAGTCATGGCCGTGGTTCTCCTGGTGGTCATCCCCTTGCTGTTGGGCCTCCTGTTTGACGTGATCATCGTGGCCCCCATGAGGGTGCCCCTGGACCAGTCTCCTATCTTTTTTCCTTGGCAGGTAAGCACTCCTGAGAGCTCAAGTCTTGCCAGGAATGTTATTGTTGATGTTGCTAGCCCTATCCGTACGTCATGTTTTACTGTCATATCCATACGGTATGGGGAACTCGCCATCACTTTCCAAAGAGGAAATTGACTCGTTAATCTGGTCTGTACGCTTTGTATAGCAGTCTGTCAAAACGATTTTTTGAGAAATACTGAGAGTTTCAAAGAGATCTTCGTACTAGAAGTATTCTAAAATGTGAAGAATACAACCCCGGGGGTACAAAATGACCCCACGGCGTACGGATAGGTTAATCCATCAGCCCGTGGTCAAGTCCCCTTTTGTCCTATGACCTTGTTTATGATGGGAAGAATATTGAGGAGAGTATTCTCTTCTTTGTAAGTTTCAGATTTTCTTAATGTTCTCGACTTTATTCGTCCTTGACTTTTCATTCCCAAGTTTTTGTATGTGATAGATATTGAAGCATTGTATTGTGGCTGATGGACAATAGGATAGTGGTTAGAGTGAAGATTTTTCTTTATTCTCCCCTACCCCCCCCTCCTAACCCCCCTTCCCTCTGCCTGTGAGATTTAGTTCTTATGGCTTTTTCTTATCATTGACCGTATTTACCACAATTAACAGTATTTTGGTACTCTTTATTTGACAGGACTGGGCTCTGGGAGTTCTACATATGAAGATCTTGACAGCTGTTATCATGATGGGCCCTCAGTGGTGGTTGAAGCGGGCCATAGAGAGGGTAAGACTTCTCAAAATAGTCTTTTTGCCCAGAGTTTTCTGGGTTTTTTTTCTCTCCCTCTACTGGGGACTCTCATGGCCTAGAGGTTAAGGTGTTTGCCTCTCATTCAAACCCGGGACCTTTTGAATGAGAGGTCCTGGGTTTGAATCCAGGTAGCAATGGAAAAATTTTATTTTCTAAAATTGTCTCCTTTCACCTCCTTTCCTGCTCTCTAGCAACATTCTGTTGTCTGCTTTCGTCTCCACTTTCTGCCCCCACCCCCTCACCTCCTTTGCTGCCTCCTCCAGGCTTCTGACTCTTTCTGCACCCTTTCTACCGTAACTCCTTGGCTCTTTCTTACTGCTGTCTTTCAGCCACACCCCTGATCTTCTGATAGGAAAGATGTACATGTAGCCTTCTCAAACAAGGGCAAAAAATTTCGAAGGTCCTGTTTGCAAGTTGCGCACGTTAAAAATCCCTTGGCGGTCTAAAATCGATGAGAGTAGGTTTTGGCCGCCACCCGGCAAAATGCAAAATTTCCTACCAACTGAAAATGTTAAATGTGTCCTACGTGCTCATATGAACCTTATGCAGTTGCGAGCGTCGTAAAGCACTTACCAAAAAATAGATCTCCTGCAACTGCTGAGCTGATTATCTTGTCGATTGATTTATTTTATCCAGTGTTGCAGCGTTTGTGTTGACTTCAGTTCTCTTTTTAATACAGCTGGTCTCTTGCATTCGTCCCTTGCTGGCTATTCCCCATTTGAACTGATACCCCGAAAGCACAATCATTACATTATATCAAAGCAGCTTCTTTTCCAAAAGTAGCATGGTGGGGGGGGGGGGGGGGGGGAGCCCTCTAAGATAATCCAACATTGAAGTCAAACCATTTAAATGCTCTGTCAATTGTTTTGAATAGTATAAACAATGATCAAGCGACCTAAAACAGCTGAGAGCAGTATACATACATTTTTTTTTTACCTAGTTCTGTGATGTGGCAAGGCAGAGATAAGTTAAATGTAATTTCTGTTGTCTCGCAGGTGTACAATGATGGCATGCGCAACCTAAACATGCGCTTCATAATGATGCAGATCTGCCTTCCGGTGTCCACGTGTCTAGGCATGGCCCTGGCGGTTCCCTATGTGATAGCTTACAGCATTGTGCCCGCTGTTGGTAAGTCTTGCTGGCTTCTCTGTACCTCCGGGTTGCCCTTTTGGTGTTGATCTCATTGTCTTTTCAATTTATCGTCATGGCATCAAGTTAGGTTAAAACTATACAGCATGCTGTGCGTTTTATGCTCCTTTCAAAGCTGTTTGTTTATCTACGACTGGGCATCTGAATTAAGTGCCCATGGTTGATAGGACTGACTCTAGTGAGTTTAGAGCCGTGATGAGTTCCCATACAATTAAAAAAACAGGTGTGCATTCTTAATTAAAATGTTCTTTAAAAAAAAAAAGAAACTAAGTCCTCATTGTCACAGTTAAATGACCTATGTAAGAGATGAATTATTTTTCTTTTGTTGTTGTTACTGCATTGTTCGTCATTTAAGTATATAAGACAAAAAAAGTATTTTAAAAAATTGAATTAAAAAGGGTTGAGTGCACATTCTTAATATATGACTTATAAAAAAAATATTGTCAATTTTTCAGCTCTCTTGGAAAATGAAAATATAGACAGTCTGCCCGTAACAGTGATGACAGGCCCTACTTTCTATATCGTCTTTGATATAAATGTACTGTACAATACATGAGGCGTCCACTAAAAAAATGGCCATAGTCACCAACTGAAAATCGTGAGGGTATCCATTTTGAACACTTGTCGACTTATAACGGTATTTCTGTTCCGATATTGGTTGATTATTGTTGTTAGATTTCCTGTCCAGCAAACATAAAATAAACCACAAATCAAACAAATATGAAATTATGAGCCCACAAGCTTTTAAAATTGACACCCTCACAATTTCCGGTTTGTGACTATGCCCGTTTTTTCAGTGGACTCCTCATATTTTTCCCTGAAACGTCAGCACCACTGTCTGAATATGTCTGTGGTTGAGAGTGTTTTCCTGTAGGGTTTATTGATGGTTGGACACATGATGGATGGTTGATGAGTGGTCTGCTCCTTCTTTCTTCTTCGTGCTCCTTTTTTCTTAGCCTGTACCAGATTATATTTGGTTGCTTTTAAGCACAAGGGAGCTATCCCGAAAAATGCTGTTTTGAGAAAATCAATGGTAAAGTTTTTGCCCCTTGTTCAGTTTCTTTAAAATACTAGGGAGAGTTTTTTCTATAACCAAACAAATATACACACCAATGAAACCAAACTTCTCCTATAGGTAGGGCAATGCCCACTTTTGGTGTCGGTCAAGATTTCTGGAAACCCCTGAAATCTGGGTTAGCCCGCTTGTCCTTAAAAGCGACCATTTGGCTTATATTGTTCCAACTTGTCGAGAATTGAACTCAGGAAAACGTTGATTTTGATGTATGTCAGCACGAAAAGCTATCCTTGTTGAAGTGTGTGGCATTTGTATATTTCCGTTCTCAGTTCCCTACTTCTGTGTGAGAGACTCTTTTTTTTTTTTCCTCCCTCAGGTGTGAGTTTTGAGATGCAGACAATGGTGGTGCGGCGGATTTACCCGTTTGTGCTGACCATGATTGTGTGCTCAGGAATGTTCATCTTCCAAGTGCGGCAGTTCCGCAGACTATATAACCATATCAAGGATGACAAGTAAGTTTTTCTCGTTTTTTTCTGAAGTCTCTTTTTTTTTCTGTTGGGAAGATTTCTCCCCACCAAAAAGCTGAGGGGATAGATTGATTATATTATTTATTCTTGTTTTTCGTGTTCAAAGGGATGTAAATTGATTGTAAAGTATATGAAGAGCACAGGGGAAAAACGACGGTAGTCGCAAACTGGAAATTGTGAGGGTGCCAATTTTAAATGCTTGTGGACTCATAACTGGTGGTTTATTATTAAGTGTTGTTGAATGGTAAATCTAACAACAATAATCAACCAACAGTTGAACAGAAATACAGTTATGATTTAACAAGTGTTCAAAATTGGTACTCTCACGATTTTCAGTTTGTGACGACCATCGTTTTTCCCCTGTAGTCTTCATATGATATTGCATCACATTTCTTACTCAAGAGTCTGCTTGTTCGATAATAAATTGTCGGTTTGCTTTATTTGTGAGTAAAAGCTTTTGAATACGTAGTTGTCATGTTTTCTCACATGATAGGTATTTTCAATTTGGGGGTTGTGGAAAGAATTGGGAGATTAATAGAAATGAGAGGGGATAATCATGCAAGAAGAAGGGGCCGGTATCCTATAAAATTACTGTGTTCATATACTATACTGTAGCACTCCTGCAGAATTTTGAATGTTAAAATGTGTGTTGAGTTGTTTTAAAACCCTGATCTACAGTGGGTGGCTGGCGGGTGCTCTGGTGTGGTTTGCTTCTACTGTCCCATCGAACATCTATCGTCCTTATCTCCCCTGCTTCTTTTTTATGTTTGTTACTCTCTCCTTTTTCTTTTTTATGTTTGTTACTCTCTTGTAACACCTCTTTTCTTCTGGCGCTCATATGACCTTATGCAGTTGCGAGCACCAAACTTCTACTAAACCTAAAACCCTGCTCTACAAGAGCTGAAAAGCAGCTGATGAACTGACTCTGCATTACCAGCTTGGCGTGTTGTTCTATTGCCTGGTTTTTAAAAACTATTATTTTACCTGGGTTTTGGATATGCCTGGTTTTCTCAAAATGTTTTAAGTACTAGACTCTTTCTCATTCTCAGTGAAGTAAAAAGTAGACTTGTTGATCATTCTGTGCAGAACATAGAGGAAGAAGTCTGTCGCAAGTATAATGTTTTCTGTCTTGCTATTCCGTTTCAAGAAACAGCTGAATATATCATCAACCTCCCACGGTATTGGAGCTTTGTTAAAAACCCATGGCCTTCCATTAAATAACAATCTCTACTGGTGAAAATTAACTAATTCACCGTTATGTTAGAGGTGTAACTCTCATGAAATTGAAGATGAATTTCACTTTATTTTCTATTGTTCACACTTTGTCCCTCAAAGGAAATTGTTAATCCCTCCCAGCCTGAATCGGCCCAGTGACAGAAATATGCAATGTTTGACTCATGATAAGAGATATGCGCACAACCTGTACTTATTCATTATGAAAACTCTACTTATCAAATGAGTGTTTTGTGTGATGTGATGTGGGCCAATGGCCTTAAACACTGAATAAACTTACTTACTTACTGTTGCCTGGTTTGCTGAACCATTGTGTTGTAAGCACTGATGATATGGTGCTTCTACTGAAAGGTTGCATTCACTATCATTTTTGTGTGATGTGAAAACTTGGGATTTGAAGTACCGTACAAGACATTACTAAGTGCTCTGATGGTGAGAAAAGTATGTGGGGGGCTCCGGTGGCTAAGTGAGCAGTGAGTTCAGTGTCAAGTAATGTCAAGCAAGTGTCGGTGACACAGGGTTTAGATGGGTGGTCACTGGGATGTGCCCTTGAGCAAGACACAACAACCCTAGCTCAAGATACAGGGCACTGCACAGTGGCGACCGGCAGTGGCATGGTTGTAAGTTGTTCAATGCTGGTGCAATATTTGTATTTATGTATGTATTTGTGCATGTATTTATGTATGTATGTATTCATAATTGTGTATGTCTGTATTTATGTGTGTATGTTTGTATGTAAGTTTGTATGTATGTATGTATGTATGTATGTATGTATGTATGTATGTATGTATGTATGTATATATGTATGTACGTATGTTTGCCACTGTAAACCGAATTGCCCTTCAGGGATCAATGAAAGTGTAATTTATTATTGTCATTAATATTATTATTATTATTAATTTCCCCTCTTGTTCTTGTTGACTGACTTCTTATTTTCTTTTGTGTACTCTGCACAGGTATCTGGTGGGCCAGCGTCTTGTCAATTACATTCACCACACCACCAGCCGTGAGGAGACCCCACGGGCCGAGATACCAGCCTCATGATGAGTGTTCATGTGTTGTTTGGGCTTTGTATGACGCATGAATGTGTGTGTGTGTGTGTGTGTGTGTGTGTGTGTGTGTGTGTGAATTCGCAAATTGTGTGCATGTGTGTGTGTGTGCATGAGAGAGCATAAGTGGTGTGCATGCTTCTTGTATGTATTTGTGTGTATGTATGAGTGTGCTCGATTGGGTGTATATATATTATATATAGCTTATATATAATGTGTGTGTGAGTTCCAGAGCACTCATGCTTGGGTGTGTGCATAAGCATGTGTGATATTCTGGTGAATGTGGATGAAATCCTCCCAGTCCTTAAAAAGAATGACAGTGAATGAGAAAAAAAAGTGAATAAAATAAATAGCTGGGAGGTTAACTTTGAGGAGTGAGTGATCTGATCCGAAGAAGGCATTTGAGTTTTCAAGTCTTCAAACGAGTGTATGATAGTGTACAGTTTTGTTGGCTGTGATATTTGTGTAAGAGAAGTGGAATGAATTGATTTTTTTGTGCAGTATGGAGTAAAAGCGAGTTCTGTGTTCTCCTGTTTTGACCTTTTCCCCCTCGTTATTGTTATTCAGCGCCTTTTATCAAAGGATTAAAATATAATGTGTACAGTTTCGTTTATTTTTCTTTCAAAGTAATTCTTAATTTGATTGTTGATCATCAGTGTGGAAGGAGGTACAATATTCCCTTGCATATCGCATCTCTCATTCCGTAGACTTTGTACAGTGGAAAATAGGGAAAAATCAGGGAAGCCCTATTGACTGAAACACAACCAGTCAGAGCATGCTGTTTGGTGTAGAAAATACTTTCAAATACCTTTAGTCTGTCATACTCCAAGTGTAAAAAGTGTTTATAAGAGCATGAGAGAGGTTCATGAGAGTGCAATGGGGGTTTATGAAGGCATAAAGTATGTAATTTGGCGCTCTTATGACCTAATGTAGTTGTGAGCGCCATAAAACCTGTACTAAATAATAATATAGTATGTAATACATGTATCTTTTGCACTTGATGGATGATCCTTCATCGCGTGAGATTTTTTTACCTAAGCCCTACGACGTGCGAGGGAATATTGTACCTGTGTTGTGGGTCTAGTCAACATGAGGCTATATACGCCACCATTTCCTGGAAAATGGTAATGGAAGATGTTGAATTTTGTATTGATATGCTCTTTTTGGAAGGATGTAAATTTGTCAGTATGTATGAAAGGAGAAGGGAGAGGATTTTGGTTGGGAGGGGAGGTGGAAGGAAGACAGTGTAAGAAAATGTGTGTGTGCCTAAAGAAAGGTACAAAAAGTTGGATTTTGATCATTTTGAGTTAAGGGTTGTACCTTATTGGAAATTCAAGGCTGAACACAGTGGTTTGTTCATTTTTGAGATATCTCAAGTAGTTTTTGAGATATTGCACATTTTGTGAGGAAGGGTGTAAAGATCTAATTTTGAGAAAATTAACGTTTAAGTTTAGAACACATACAAACTTTTTAAAAAAACGATGATTCAGTTGTTTCTAATTTATGGAAAATTCATTTTCAATTTGGCATTCAGTTGACATCAATATCATGATTAGAATTCAATGGTAAAACTAAGCAGGGAAGAGAAAACATGCTTCAAGAATAGATTTTATCACCTTCTAAAAGCAGTTTTCATTATCTGTTTAAAAAACACCCTAGTCTCAAAATTATTCCAAATAAAATATTTCTAAGTCAAATCAATGAAAACCCTTTTAACACATTGTTAAAAAATGATGGAATTATCATGTTTTTATGGAAACACAATTTGGTAAAACAAAAAAGTGATTATTTGTCATGATCAGCCTGTAGCTCAAAAATGGTCTGTGGCGACTTTTGGTACCTTTCTTTAGGCGCACACACATATGTATAGATTTTGGCCTCAGTTATAGTTCATGACGTCCTTCGCAGTTACCTCAGTCTCGCTTTTCAGGTTTGCGAGACATTTGTATGTGATGCTTAAAATCATTTTCACTTTTGTGATGGGCATTCTTATTAAAGAGTTTATGTTGGAAAAATAAAACATTTGAATAATTTTTTTAATTAAAAAAAAAAAAATGTAAATTGCTGTCAGATCACACCCAGGATGTAAATTTTGGCTAGACTGTGCTTGGGGTCTACATTTCATGTAAACTTGTCCTAGGATTTATATACATATAGATTACAATTGACTGTGCCAAAGATGGAAAATGTGGTAGGACTTGCGATTGGACCTTACTTAAAAAAAAAAAGCCATGCCTGAGTTAATAGTCACAGCCTGCCATGTTATGATTGAGAATGTCTTTTCTATTTGAATTATTTTTGGTCTGGCCGATTGAGGTACCTCACAAGTGTTGTGCTTTTGCCACCTGTTCCTTTCCAGCCTGTGCACATCATCAAATCCTCTTTTCTGGACGCTTGTTGCGAAGTCGATAATGCATTTTTAAAAGTGTATATGTGTCACGACGTGGTGGAATCAGGCGCTGGTCAATTTTTGGTCATGTGCAGCTATTGGTATCATCTCAAAACTTGTTCATTTGTCTTGCTTTCAATGAAAAAATTACCATTTTACCTTCAATAGAACACAGGATATTTTGAATTGAAATAGGTGGGGTTCACCTGGTTTCAGAGGTAAAATTAGATAGAAAATGACCGCCAAAGTTTGGTGACTTCCAAAGCTTGAGAGTCCTTGGAAACTGTAAATTTACTGTTTTTGTGTCTTTCTTTTTAACTAACGTTTTTAAGTAAAAGTCACCCAGAAATGTGTTCTTTATTGGACAACAATGGTGTGAAGCCACAAACCAAAAACTCGATAAAAATTTCCAAACCGGCGGAAAATGCCATTTTCTTTCGTTTCATTATTTTGACGAGCGCCTGATTTCACCATGATGCCTCACATATTTTGTAATTTTCTTTCTTTGTAAGCTGCTCCTTCATGGTTCACTGTCAATGTATTTTGTGTGCCGGATTGCTTCATGCCTTTGCATTATCAATGGTGTATACCTTTGAACCATGTATGTTTGATGAAAGGAGAGAAGCAGATCCAGAGCAAGATTTAACCGGGGCTTTTATTCTTTCTCCATTTTTTGAGGAAGCCCTTTGGAAAAAAAACAACCTAAAACATTGTTATCCAAATACTCTCGGCAAACCCTTTATTTTTCCTGCACCAACACATGCAGATCCAGTAAATTTTGGAGAATTACATGTGTGAGCATGCTTTAGCATGTAAAGGATAACTCAACTGATGCGCAATTTACGATTCTTGATTTGAATTTGGTTGCATGGACCACTGTGTCTGGCTTTCACTGAATTTAACTGACCAAATTCATTTGACAAAAGAGAGAACTTTGCTTTGAAAAATTGCTCATGAGCAAGGCACTACTTGCTAGTGGGGAAAGTAAGCCAGATATGTGAAAAACCAGTGCCACTTGGAAGTTATAGTCAACTAGCCCTTGGATTTAATGGGAGAAGTACTGGAAGAAAAAGATAATCTAGTCTAACAAAATCCTGGTTAAATAAATTGTTTGAGGAGGACAAAGAAATCATACTCTGAACTTGAGAGAAAAGTGGCTCTTAATTAAGGGTAAAAGTTGTACTGAATGATTGATTTCTGTAGACCTTGAATGAGAAAGGTCTGAGGCAGTTCTTAAATGACTGAAGTGAGTGAAGGGGTGACGAATAAATTAAAATATCTATGCTCAGATGGGCCACTTTACCATTATATTTGGAGTCACACTTATGCTTGTAACTGTTTATAGTTCCATTTTGCTTATCTCTTTGAAACTGGCCTTCTAATTTTATTATATTGTCATCATTTCAATAACTAGTATGGATTGAATGAAACTAGTTTTTTTTTCAGTTGATGATGTTCAGGCATGTATAGAAAAATGATATGTCAAGAAAGTGAATCTATAAAACTTAAGTGTAAAATGCATATCTACAAGTGTGTTGATAAAAATGTGTATGAGAGCTGACTTTTATGCTGCTATTTACTATTGGTTGACAAACTGGATAAACATGGAAAGAAAGTCAGAATTTGAGTCCGAGTAGGGTAAAAAAAATTCTGGTCCTTCCGAGAATATATTATTTCTTTTTGATTTCCACCCGGTGTCTCCGAACATTGGCTGAGTCACCAATTTCAAAATGACCCAAGATGTGAGTAGCAGGGCTTTAAACTTCACAATTTGATGTGTGAAAGCACTGTGTCTGATCTCTGGCTTCCCTTCCTGGACGGTTCAGTTGATATATTTATATATATTTATGTGTATGGGTTTATTGTTGTGAGAGAAAGGTATCTGGAAGTAAAGCAAAATATTACATTAAAGTTTTTGTTCTTGTTGATGTTGTTGAAGTTTGAGGCTCTTTTCTATGACATCTGACATCACCCGTATATGTATATTATTCATTGAAGCTGCTCACCTGTGCCATTGCACTTATGCTTTGCCATTCCTTCATTATTGTACATAAACAACTCGAGATTTGTGTCGTGGACTCCCATTATTATTGGATGGATTTTTGTATTTCTCGTCTTTCCCTCCAAAACAGAAATTTGTACTTTTTATGTAATAATCAGATCATCAAAATTAGTTGTGTAGGCAAGTCTTCGAATTACATATATGTAGAGGTCACCTTGTTTGAAATGATAGCTGAGCACGGATAACGGGAACCCACAGGGTAAATGCTTCTACTCCTTTGAGTTTGTTGTACTAAAATTCCTGGAGTTTCCATGCAATTTAAGTTTGGTGTATATCCATTAAACTTTTGGCTACACAAATCACTTTACTGAAAGCTAGCAACTGACAGTCACTTTGACAAAGCACATTTAAACTTACAGTGCAGATTTTGTCTATTCATATTTTTTTTAGCCGTCTTCATGCAGATAAAGAATAATTTTATCAGTGACAATTTTTTTATCAGCGACAATTTCTTCCACTGGTGACTGGTGTAATGGTTAGGCTCTTTGCCATGACATGCAGAGGACGTGAGTATGATTCCTGTATTGGAGAATTATTTACTAGTGTCTCCGCCTGTTCACTGGGATGCTGTACTGTATCCCACTCCGCCACGGCTTACTCTGACATTCAGGGTTGATGAAGCAGCGCACCTTGTGAAGTAAATGACTTCCTTTGTGTCAAAGGCTTGGGGTAAATTTTTAAAAATAATCAAATCAATAAAAACTTGATTCAGACACAATATATTCTGCTTACAAGGTCCTAATTGTTTTTCCCTGTACAGATGCACTTATGCAATTCAATCTGACACCAGAAAGGAGAAATGTTTTTCTTTCTTCAGCTGTGTTTTAATGTAGTAGAGTACAAGGGTGATTCATGTGTCCAAGTGGAACTTCAGTATTGTTTGGGATGTCCCAAAGTCCAGCAATAAGTATTACCAAATACATGTACTGAGGTAATATCCTTACTCTTGACAGTTGTGGGTTGCTAGCTGGAAGAAAATACTGAGAGGTCTGGCCTGCAAAAGGGTCTTGTTAACTTATAATTTGAGAAAAATAAATGGATGTATTGTAATAGATTTCCTGGTTCCTTTTTTCCCCCCCGAACGTTTGTACTGTCATCCGTTTGTTAATGTGACATCCATCCGCCCAGCAGACTTGAAAAGTTAATATAGTACTCGGCTAGGCTATGCAACTATGTGCAGTGAGTGATTACTGAAGCAATATGTACCTGTTTTCAGTCAGCAGTTACCTAATAATATACGTAGAGCTCTTCACAGCATAGAGTATCCTGCCTGCCCACGCCTCTCACAACTGCTTTTCTTTGTCACTTTATACAGAGGAGTCTGCTTAACCTTATCCATACGCCCTGGGGTCATTTTGCACCCCCGGGGTTGTATTCTTCATCTTTTAGAATACTTGTAGGGCAAAGATCTCTTTGATTTTTGAAACTTTCAGAATTTCTCAAAAAATCATTTTGACAAAGACTGCTATGCAAAGCGTACGGATCGGATTAATGAGTAAATTTCCTCTTTGAAAAGTGGTGGCACAGAGTTCCCCATGTCGTATGGATACGGTAGTGAAACATGATGTAGGCCTACGGATAGAGTTAAGTGAGAGGGTGAGTTTTCCACATGTGCAAGTCACTTTTATCATTACTCACACACACAAAACACGTATGCGAGGGCTTCAAAATAATTTTTTCCCCACTACTGCAGTCCCCTACCCTCTGGTTGGCTCTGCAAAAAAAGAAACCTGGATGTTAACATCTGGGTGCAAGGAGGTCGGCACTCTGATTGATCAGCACCATCACCAAGATCTCCACCCTCAGCACATCCATAGTTCACAAGCACGTACATCAGTACATGCATGTCTGTGACACTTGGATTTAATTTAATTTTAGTAAGAGTTTTACGGCACTTGCAACGCATTAAGGTCACATAAGTGCCGAAGATTAGAGGTGTTACAAGAGAGTAACAAACACAAAAAAGGAGGGGAGATAAAGACGATAGGTGTTTGATAGGAAAAAAGTAAACTACACCAGAGCACCCGCCAACCACCCACACACTTGAATTTGAAGTTAAGAAAATTAAGAACTCCCCCCCCCCCCCCCCCCCAAAAAAAAAAAGGGGGGGGGGGGTACCCTGTGCTGAGAGTGCCTCGAGTATCTTTACGATAATCATGTGCCAGAAATAGAGTGGGGGAAAAACTCCCAACAAACAACACAACCAAACACCTTAAAAGGTTAAAAAGACATCCAGATGGTTTCAACTGCTGAAAAAATTGCCTCCAGAATGAGTTTATACAAAATTCGTCCGTTAAAGCTAAGAATATTGGTCACACTTCGTACAGAGCCTATATTCACCTGAACTTTCATGAGTCTTTGCATAATAAAAGTTCTACTCACACGCATAAAATCTTGAAATCATACAATCATTACACATAAACACTGTAACAAGTTTTCAGGGGTGTAAGACACTGGCAGCATTTTAATGTAGTCTGACCAACATGGCTTTCAAACAAAAATGACAAAATATGGCAAGGGAAGATATATTTTTTTTTTTCCCCCCCCCAGTAACTTTCACAGACCATTTCAAATCAACCAATAGACCAACATGGATGATTCAAAGGCTAAGAAATCATACAGTTCAAGATCTATACTTCTTTGCAGTGATCCATGTATTTATATTTCTTACATTAAAAGACTATGCATGAAATGCTATGATGCCAATTCAGGAAGTAACATACACAACATTATGTCTCAAAACATACCAACATAGATGATTCAAATGCCAAGAAATCATACAGTTCAAGATCTATGATTCTTTACAATGATCCATGTATTTAAAATATTTCTTACATTAAAAAGAAGACTGAACGCATAAAATATTGAGGAGCCAATTCAGGAGGTAACATACACAACAGTATGTCACAAAACGGTTGTCAGGACTATTTTGTCAGACAGCCCTGCCAGAAGAATGTCTAATATATCATAACATGCCCTCAACTCTCCACTTTCCCAACTTCTACATAGATGTTCATCCTGTCCTTTCAGATCTCTAAACAATAATGGTACCACATTTTGCTTGCTTCTTTCAACACATTTCTAGCAAGTCCCCACAACAGAAAATTCCACTGAATGAAAATGTCTCACTGAATGAATGCATTTGAGAAAGCAGTTCATAACTCTGTGAAAAAAAGGGGCACTCTGGTAAATAATATTCTTACAATGATGAAACACAAACCAGTATTATGTAAAAAACAAAGCTCATTTAACAACTACAGTCCAGCACACACACAGCAAAATCAGGACGCAAAAATTGTTTTGTATCCTCATGTACTTGTTTTAAATACAAGAATATACATGTTGTATTTCAGAAAAAATATGGGACCTGAAAATATATTCGCTATGTGCGAGTTCACCATGTGCGTACTAGACTCTCTATGATTAGTAATTTCATAGCTGATCACCTGATTGGACCGATTGATTTCTTTTGATCCCTAGTAGTAATTCAGTGCTGCTGGACAGAACAGCTTGCATATTGACTGTTGAGTGTAAAACTGCTGTACGTCATTTTGAAAAATGACATTTGTCCTAAAAAAGCTAGAACCATGTATCATGATTTTTTTGCAAAATTTTTTTGTCGCCAATCGAAAGCGCGTATCATGGGCTTCATTTCTGTATAAGTTTCATTGAGTTCCCCGGCTTAAAATCGTTATATTTTAAAAAGCAAATAACTGTTTCACTTATCATAGATGTTTGCTTCCACATTAGCTCATCATGAAATAAGCGGAATGGCTTTCAATATTGTTACAACTTGGATGACGCAACAAGAATTACCACGGAACCGACAGTAAAGCCAAGAATTCCTAAATCGCGTATCATATTACGATAGGATTTTAGGGCTTGATCGTTTCCGGTGTGTTGATCATTCATACATACCTACATTAATCAGTTTTTTGTTCCTCCTGAAAAATTCGTTAAAACCTTGTTACCTGGCACTGGCTCTTATAGGATGATATGACGGAGTCTTATACTGAGCATATTATATTACAAATGTACAAAGTGGATTTTCTTCTGTGATGGTTGAGGTTCACAGCAAAATGCCTCAAAATGGGAAAGAAGAGATAAGGGCCTGAGCAAATTTCAGGGCTGAATATCTTGAGATTCATGATTTCACTTCAGATCTTGCCTTGAAGTCTGCGCCAACAGCCTCTGATATGTGTTTGTAGCCATCTTTCCTGAGAAAAGTAAAAGGCGAAAAGTTCAAATGGTTTTATTTCAAATGAAAAAATAATACTGGGAGCACAGCAAATGCAGATACTGTTGTAACATATTCGTAAGAGGTTCATACATAACTTGACAAGGAAACCTTGTACAATTGTCATAAATAGACACCAAAAAAAAATCGTTCATTATTGTTAAGCTATCTATTTTTAAAAAATTGCATGCATATTTTATTATATTATACTTATTTTCCCTCTCTCCCTTTCTCTCTCACTCTCTCTCTATGTCTCAACAAGATTAAATTTTCACTCTCACATACTACAGACAATTGTCACCACACACTAAAGCTGTCTTATACTAAGAGACAAAACCACATAGTCTACAGTCTTCAGCCTGCGCCTCTCATGTAACTTGGTTAAATTTAGAAAACTGTATGTCGTTGTGTTGCCCCATAAATTGGCACAAAGTTACCATTAGTTTTAGTAAGAGTTTTACGGCACTTGCAATACAATAAGGTCATATAAGTGCTGAAGATTAGAGGTGTTACAAGAGAGGGACAAACACAAAAAAGAAGGAGATGAGATAAGGATGATAGATGTTTGATAGGAACGAAGAAACAAACCACACCAGAGCACCCCCCGCCAACCACCCACACAAAGTTTACATGTGGGTGGGGGCTGATGTCTTGTGTTGGGAGTGACTTGAGTATCTTGCGGTTCTTCAAGTACCAAAAATAAAGAATATATCAGCAAGTCACTGACCCTCCTCCTCCTCCCACATGTCCCTGCAGCTTGGTCCCTCCGCTGTTACCCCAACGGTGCTCGCTGTGGCGTCGGTGGCCTAGTGGTTAGGCTACCAGACTCGCAATCATGAGGTTGCGGGTTCAGGGGTTCGAGTCGCGGGCCCGACGTTGTGTCTTTGGGAAAGGCACTTTACATGAATTTTCCTCACTTCACCCAGGTGGGAATGGGTACCCGGCCATAGACAGCGAAAGATCTTGTCAGTATGTTAGTGTTTTAGCGCCTATAAATGGCCTCTTGTACTGTATACTTTCCGGGAAGTTGTGGTTGTTTCAGAATGCTCTCGGGTCTGCCAGCGTAATAATACAGATTGTGAAGTGCATAGAGCTTGCTGTTGAGCGGGGATTTGCGCTATACAAATGCTATCTATTATTATTAAAACTGTCTCAAGTACTTATTGAGGAATCAATGAATGCCAGATTGCTACGTTACGGGGGCCTGTGTTTGATCATTGAGGGACTTGACTCGAGTGGGCAATCTTGACTAAATCATCTCAATAAGGCCGGGACTGGTGTCTTCGGACCACACTCGATCAGAATTTCGTTATCTCATTACTGTTGGCGTTATTTGAAGACTACAGGGGAAAATCGACTGTAGTCATAAACTGAAAATCGTGAGGGTACTAATTTTGAACGCTTGTTGACTCATAATGGTATTTGTGTTCAACCGTTGGTTGATTATAGTTGTTAGATTTCCCATTCAACAACACTTAACAATAAACCACCAGTCAATCAAATACGAAGTTATGAGTCCACAGCCTTTTAAAATTGGCACCCTCACAATTTCCAGTTTGTGACTACCGTCATTTTCCCCCTGTGCTCTTCATTTATTTCTGACATTTTTTTATCCCTACCTGAGCAGTTCCTCCATCTCTCTCTTAATTTTGCCTACAGCAGGGGGTCCCAGGTAGACGAGAGCGGTGTACATCTGGATCAGACTGGCTCCAGCCTTCACCTTGTCATACGCATCTTGACCACAGCTCACGCCTCCTACCCCAACAATCGGTATCTTGCCTGGAGGAGATAAAGAAAACAAAGATTAGTTTTAGTACCGTAGAGGTTTTATGGCGCTCACAACTGCATAAGGTCATATGATAAGCGCCAGAAGATTAGAGGTGTTACAAGAGAGTAACAAACATAAAAAACGAGAAGGGGAGATAAGGACGATAGATGTTTCATAGGAAAGAAGAAGCAAACCACACTAGAACACCCGCTAACCACCCACAAAAAGATTATTGACACATCAGTGAAACAAATTTATAAGCACATTCAGATACATGACTGGTAGAAAGGAGGTATTCAGTCAACTGCAGTTACAACAACCTCATACCATTAATTATTAAGTACAAAATAAGGCATTTGTAACTATGAAAAGATGTAGAAGGAGCAGACCATAAAAGTATGCCTAAAAACCACTCCCATAAATATAATTTAGAAGACTATAAATTTTCATGACTATAAATATATATAAGTTGAATACATTTTTCACAACTGTTTATAATTGGAAGAATACAATTTTAATGAATTGATCAAGAGCGAGTTCAAATCAGTCTCTGATCCCCTTCAACGTATCCATTTTTTACATCACACTTTACACTTGCTTGCAGTTTAAGACACAATATCTTTTCATCAGAAATCTTCTTTCTCCTCGTACTCCTGCTAGAGCTCAGGGAGTAACCCACAGTAAGGACTTCATCTCACAGAGCTGTTGATTTTATGTACGAGGCTGTTTTATCTACACAGTATGTAGGATCATCCCTTGCCTGACAGGCAGCGATGTGCAGTTTTTCAAGATACTTTTTACTTATACTGATTAGAGTAGGTTCAGTTTTTGAACAAGAATTAATTTTGGATTTTGCTCAGACAGCTACTTCAAAGGCTTGTTCTTTTTCATTCTAGAACTGCTAACGGATCTTTAAAGTGCCAAACAAACACACGGGACCTCCTAATTTTTTGTCCTTATGCGAGAAGACTATAGGTTCTTGATCCTATCTACGCTAGGATTGATAGGTGCAGAAAAACATGAAAAAAAAAAAGAAGAAAAATCTGATCCTGATGGGGATTGAACTCATGGACTCTGGATTGACGTTTGAACACCATGCCTGCTGAGCTGCTGAGCCTCCTTCAGAATACAATTTGGTCTTCTTTATTTTCCACAACGCTGATGTTGTTCCATTAGTTTTAGAATTACTACATTTCATTAACAACTTCAATTTCCATCAAAGGTCATACCTGTAAGTTACACTGTAACATCAAAAAGACTAGAGCATTGAGGAATAGCAAGGAGGAGAATTCCACAGGCCACCAGTTGCTATAATTCAGAGTCTATACATTAGCTTCTGTGTCTCAGATCAGTTAACTCTTTATCTCCGAGGGGGAGTAAACCTACTACGCCCGGGCCCTTTTTTGGTGCTAAATCTAAAAATGACAAAAATGTCATTAGTTGGGTTATTAAATCAAAACTAGCAAACCTATTTAGATAGTTCTTCATCTAATGAATGAACTTCCGGTATAACTCTTTTTATCCTAGCCGTACCGCCACGGACTCTGTACCAGTCCTGGGGCCGCCGCGCCGTATGAGTGGGAAGTCAGTGCGTATAGTTCAAAGTGCTATATTTCTTACGTTTACTCTAAGGTTTTAAGGAAATTTGACAGTTAAGTTAGAAATTGAATGTAGTTTTTGTAAATGTATGTGGTTAGGAAATACACCAATAGCACAATGTAGATTATGAGGTGTATTCCACCTTCGAACTTGACCCTGATTGCCGCGCCCACGACGCCCCATTGGATTTTATAAATCTAGATCTAGCCCTACCCATCAAGCGCAAATTCCAGCTGACCCCTTCACCATGATCTGAATCGCTATTAGATGAGTCTAAGTCCTGTTTCTTATCATCCACAACAGAATTTACGGCTCTTATTTCAGAGTCGCTTTCATCAAATTAGTGTCATTCCCCCTCATAACCCAGCGCCACTTCAAAAAGAACTTCGTCGGTCGTGAATGTGCGTTTTCGAGACATCTTTCAAGCTTCTACACCCATCAAAAACAAAGAAACCACTGTTCATTGGAAAATTAAAATATTCAGACAGAGCTAGCATCGCCGTATTTGCGTATTTTGGTAATTACAAGTAGAACTAGCTTCTTTGACGTGACCGTATCGCTGTTCCGAGAATACTCGTAGCCCGGACTGGTCCTCGTTACGAGAATACTCGTAGCCCGGATAAAAAGAGATAAGAGACCAGTTTTCGGCAATTGCCGACAAGTAATTTGATGTCGAAGTCGCAGTAAAGGAATGTGCCCGAGCCACTATCAGCCGCTCAATGGCACAGTGGTTCCGACCGTGAGCTGCTGGGAGTGGCTTGCCGGAGATAAAGAGTTAAATCTTTCAAAAAATGCACAAATCTATCATAAAGACTATTATAACTAAGACAACACAAATCCATGAAAAACAAACACAACAGAAGTTAAAACTGAAAACGGTCCGCTACAAAGATGACACCCACCGTGCGTTAACCTGTACATATCTCGTATCACTTGAAGAGATTTTTCCGTGAGTGGGGCTCCGCTGAGACCCCCCATCTCTGCTTTGTGCTTGCTCTTCAGAGACTCGGGCCTGGCCACGGTGGTGTTACTGATGATCAATCCATCTACTCCGCTCTGTGGAGGGAACAGACAAGAAGTTCGTATAGAGAGAAAGGAGAATGGGACATTTCTTAGTTTTAGTAAGAGTTTTACGGCACTTGCTAAAAAATAAGGTCAAATAAGTGCCGAAATTTTAGATTAGAAGATTAGAGATGTTACAAGAGAGTAACAAACACAAAATAGAAGGAGGGGAGAAAAGGAAGACAGATATTAGATAGGAAAGAAGGAGCAAACCACACCAGAGCACCCGCCAACCACCCACTCTTAATGAAAGAGACAAGAAGTTCATATAGAAGAAAGAAAGGAGAAAGGGACATTTCTTGAATTAAGTCATACACTGCATCCTGAATTAACTGCATCACTAACAGTAGCATTGTACAAAGTTGCAAATAAAAATCTTATGACGTACATGTGTTAAATATTATTGAGTGTACAATAGATTCTTATTTACAGCTCACATCGTCTATCAAAGAATACTTTTAGGCAGTTGTTTGTTTCTGAACCAGAAGCATATAAACAAATACATACATACATACATACATACATGAAACATACACTTCTTTACAGACACACACTGTTATCGTTTAAATAGTATATCCTACATGAGACCTTTTTAATCTTGTATTCGAATTTGACCCTCAAAAAATAAATTGAACAATAAAAAGACCGCTGAGAACCAAAATGAGACTTGACAAAAGGAAATTGGAGAAAGACGGTTTCTGAGTCATGTGCTTAGCTTCGGAGAGGCAGACAAATAAAGTCACAGGCAAAAAACAACAAAAGAAAACATTTGTCAAGGAAACAGTGATGTAAAAGCAGGTGTACATGAATAAATATGTAGGGAGACAAAAATATAGAGCCAGATTGATGAGTTGTTAGTTAGTTTCAGTAGAGGTTTTACGGAACTGCATAATGTCATATGAGCGCCAAGGAGTGGATGTCAACAGAGAAGTCCGTACAGGGAATCAGACTTACTCTGCTCACCTCTCTAGCTTCAACAGCACAAGGTCTGCTTCGACTATCACAGCACCCCGGAAATAGCGGGTCACAAGAGTGTGACAAACATACAAAATAAGTAGAGGAAAAATGACAATAGTAAGGATTAGGATAGGAAAAGCAGCAGTTCCCTGTGGTAGATCAGGCACAGTTATGAGCATGGCATTGATGAATCAGCCCATTTACAATTCTACTGTGCATGAACGAGAAACGTCCCCACTTTGGGAATGGCCTAAAGACACTTCAGTCAGTGGCACCGCCCCAGTGGGATATTAATGAGTTGGTACTGGACATCATGATGCAAAAAGTACAGTGGTGTGCACAGTCTGAGAAAACATTTTGTTAAGAAGAAAAGGATGAGGAAAGGGAGAGGCTATAGTTGTTTTTTTTTTACATCAGCTAAGGAGACACAGATGGCAATTTTCATTACAATGAATGCGTAACCCAATAACTGGGCAAATAGCAGCTTTTAAACACAATTTCTTTTCAAAAGCAACGTTAAGTGATGGTGTCATCATAAACTCACTATACCCCTAAAAAACTTTGAAAACAAAACATTTGAACTTGTTACAATTATTTACTCATTTTACAACAGTCTAACTTTTCATAAGAGAAAATAACCATCACCTGCGGCCTTGTGACAACTGCTGCGATATCCTTTTTGTCTGATTCTGTCAGGTCGGGAGCTATCTTCACCAGAAGAGGTGGCTTGGGGGACACTGTCAGTTTATTCCTTTCTGCAACAACCTGGAGAGGAGATTGACGGGGACATTTTTATTCCACAGATGGTGAGACAAGAAAGAAAACTAGTTTAGTTAGTTTTAGCAGACGTTTTACGACCCTCGCAACTGCATAAGGTCATATGAGAGCCAGAAGATTAGAGGCGTTACAAGAGAGTAACAAACACAAAAAAGAAGAAGGGGAGATAAGGATGATAGATGTTTCAAAGGAAAGAAGAAGCAAACCACACCAGAGCACCCGTCAACCACCCACAAGAAAACTAGTTCTTGAAAGAAAGAGAGCAAGTCCAAAGAGTAACCCGTGATGTAAAGCAAATAAAAATACATGTTACTATCTATTTAAAAAGTAAGCAATACTTCACAGCAATCTTGTAAGTAGAGAACAGAAAAACAGATAAGAAACCAAAGCAAAGAGACAGACTGCAACAGAGATAGATATAGAAATAAAGAACAGTAAAAACTACAATAACATTGAAAAATTCAGCTTAAAAAATGTGTATTTGCCGTGCCTCTTTCACACAACATGGTCCATGGAAATAGAGGCTTTCCTGTCTTAAATGTGAAAATATCATTCAGAATGGAACATAGCATAAGATATGTGTTACGACGCAGTGGATTCAGGTGCTGGTCAATTTTGGAGATATGGAACTAAACTAATGGCACCATCTTCTTAAAATTTGATAAGTTGTCTTGCTTTTGAAGAAAAAAAATACCCATATGTCTAGCGTAGAAGTTGAGATATTTGCTATAGAATGAGGTGAAAAAGGGGGGAGGTGGGGGGTGGGGGGAGTTGCCTGGTGTCAGAGGTAAAATAAACAAGAAAATGTCCGCAAAGTTTGGTGACTTCAAATGCTCGAACGTCTTTGATAACTGCAAATTTACATTTTTTAACCCTTTGATCAATGTTTTTTTAGTGAAATCTACACAGAAATGTGTTTTTTTTAAATTGACATAATATTGCGTTAAGCCAAAAAGAAAAAAGAAACTTGATAAAAATTGCCTGATTCCACCAAGATGACACAAAGGTGTATACAAAGGCTTCAGAAAATATTTGTACAAAGACGGGATTTTCCCAAAGTATAAGACTTCCATCTGTGTGCAAAGTATGTTGCCGCTGAATAGAACGGCAATCGGCACTGAGTGAGGATAACAAGACAAAGATGAAGTCTGAGCAGTAAATTGTAACAAGGGTCATTAGGCGGTGCCAGTAAAGGTTGTTTGAGGTTTTATGAAGATTTTAAGAACAAGTGCAAAACCCAGCTTCCACATCCAAAAGGAGTAGTTTCCTGTGAGTCACAATAAAAAGATGTCTTATTTCCTAAAATAAGTTGAGTGATATAAAACATTAACCCTATCCGTACGTCATGTTTTACCATGGTATCAATACGATGTGGGGAACCCTGTGCCACCACTTTCCAAAGAGGAAATTTACTCATTAATCCAATCCTTACGCTTTGCATAGCAGTCTGTCAAAATGATTTTTTGAGAAATACTGAAAGTTTCAAAGAGATCTTCGTACTAGAAGTATTCTAAAATGTGAAGAATACAACCCCAGGGGTACAAAATGACCCCAAGGCATAGGGATAGGGTTAAATAGAAAAAGAGGATCACATTGGACCATGTACTTGCTGAGCATAAACCTTTAGTGAGAATAAAAACATATCACTCCAATACCGTAATAGGAAAGTAATACACAATTATTGTACAAAAACTTTACAATACCTGATCTAATAACTCGATCAGGACTTCTTGCTTTTGCATATCTCGGAGTCCTGGGGTATTTGGGGATGACACATTTATAACTAAATAGTCTGCTATCCCACCAAATTTCCGTACTCCTTTGACATAATCACTGACTGCATCGGGTGACGTCTTGTTTTTCCCTAAGTTGACACCAAGAACTCCAGCTTCTAGGGAAAAAAAAGAATCATCAGAGTCAGGCAGTGGATTCTGATTAAAATATTTATGACAATATGAGACCCAAGAATTTTTTATAATGTCGGCCCAGAAAACATTAAATACCTACTCATTTATATACACTTTATTGCCTACACTTCTCTTCAGATTTTCCCCTTCTAATTCAGCTCACTTAGAAATGTTATCAGAAAGAAAACCCAAACACAACTCTTCACTAAACAGTTTTCTCTCAAGTCCCCAATTTTCCCAGTCTATAGATAATTTCTTGAAACTATCACAGTTAATAATGAAACAGGATATTGGCATCAAGTTTAAGAAAATTCAAACCCCAAAAAATTAATATAATCTAGACTGAGTAAAATAAAACAACAATAAAGTAAAGGCATAAAAACCAAATGGCACACCAGACAAAATGCAATGAAATCAACTTGCAAGACTGGCCTTGAAAGGAATCTCTATATAGGCCTATTATATTTGTGAAAATTCACTCTTTGGCCGCCTAAAACTTCCGAACCACTTAATTTTCGAATTTGACAAAATTAATGGTGGTTCACAATTATTTAAAGGGTGCACAGTTTCATTGAGGAGCCTGAAGTCACTGCAGTTTAATTTTCAGTTTTTCGTTAATTTCGTATAGATCTAATCTTGGGAAAGTCAGATTCCACACCTTTGAAATTATGGAGTGTACAACCACAAAAGCGGAATAGAGAATCAATCTATACATCTATTATATATTTGGCAACTTGGAAACACATGTGTCACTTTTCCCCCCATAAAACTACCTTGTCTTTGTTTTTCACTTGCAACTACTGCAAAACCAGGTTCAACCTTGCAGCCAATATTTGACAAGGGGAAAATAATATTGTTTGTTGTAAGAACTAGGACTATAAGCAGGTTGATGGCAAAACCTGAAGGGAAGTTCTTTTAAGACTTTATTTTTTTTTACACAAGTCTCTCCATTCAGAACCAAATCTATCAAATTCGGTAATCACTTTTTTTTGTGGTTAGTGTTATACGACGCTCGCAACTGCATAAAGTAATATGAGCGTGCGGGACACACCAAACATTTTCAGATGGTAGGAAATTTTGAATTTTGTCCGGGTGGCGGCTGAAGCCTACTCTTATCGATTTTAGACCACCAAGGGATCATTAACGCGCGCAACTTGAAAGCCGGACCTCCAAGATTTGTCTCCCTTGTCCGAGAAGGCTAGGTGTAGATCTTTCATACCAGAAGATCAGGGGTGCGGTTGAAAGATAGCAGCAAGAAGGAGCCAAGGAGTAGCAGTAGAAAGGCTGCAGAAAGAGTCAGGAATCCCGTGGAAGGGGCAAAGGAGGTGAGGGAGTGGGAGAAGAGAGTGGAGACGAAAGCAGACGACAGAATATTGCAAGAGAGAAGGAAAGAAGGTGAGAGGAGACAATTTTAGAGAAAAAAAGTTTTTGGTCGCTACCTGGATTCGAACCTGGGACCTTTGAATGAGAGGCCAGCACCTTAACCTCTAGGCCACGAGAGCCCCGCAATCACTTTGAGTATCAAAACAGGAAAATTATTGGATTAAAGGTGACACCCTGAAAACACTGTTCCTGCTTCTCTCTACAGGAAGGCTAGAAACATGTACATTATTATAGTGCTGCCATGGAGGGGATGTCTATAATAATTAGAACTGAACTGAAACCGTTTCAACTTACTGTGTGTACAAAAATACACAACTGCCTTTTTAAGAAGAAACAAAACAAACTATGTCAAATGACATAATCAAAATAATAATGTGCAACTAATAAAATAACAACCCAATACTTTCAAATAGTATTCCAAGGACAAATCAAAGTTAGATGAGCATAAAGAGAGGTAAAGAGAGCAGTCCAAATGCTTCCATCAAGTGTCCTATTAGAAAAGAGGAAAGGGGAAAAATCTTGCTTTTCCCCAACTGGTCGGGATGTATACAGACCAGATCATGAGTTCATTTACTAAAACCTAATCCAAGCTGTGCTTAATCAGAACTTCCACATTGATGATAACTCACAGGGGTAACATATAGAACATAACTAGACATCAATTTATACAGGTTGACACTCTAAAAATGTCTGAACTTCCTCAAATCCATCAACTGTGTCCTATGTAGAAAAGAAATTGCTTGATGGATGCTTTTTATGAATCAAAAGGAACAACAGGTTTAAGTAATTTACACAACTCCCCTCCCCCCTCCCAATATCTTAGAGGATTAAAACCTCATAACTACACAAAGGACCAAACAAATGACATCTTTGTACTAAATAAAAAAGCTTTCAGTTCGTGAAACTAACATTTTGCACAGAAAAGCAAGGAACAAAACACATGGAATAATGAAAGTCAGTAAAAATGAACAGGAAACTGTATATCAAACTTACATTAATTGTTACCTTTCATTCTAGTGCGAACTCTTCTTTTCAGCACTTTAATCCAACTAGCAATGTTATTTCTTTCATCTTCCACTTCAGTCCAAAAATTTACGTTAAGCATATTTCTCTGTTCACCAACGTATGTCGGAGGGTAACCTGGGACCCAAAATATTAAGTCAATTCAGTAAAAGAGGAAAAGTCCACCAACAAAAAACAGATGGAGCAAGAGCGTTATGGTACGGATAGATGATTGACTTTCATGCCCACCAGAATTACATTTACCTGGAAGAAAAGACAATCATACACTGACACGTAAGTCAAAACCCAAGCAAAAGGATTTATAAAAGGATTCTACCCATTTCCCTCTGTGTTGATGCAACTTTTAACTAATGATACGACAGGTCTTGTCCAAATATAAGATGTCATTGAGTTCAGTTCACAAAGAATCGGATTAGAAGATAACATTCATTTGGCATGAGTAATTTGGAAAAATAAGAACATTGCATTGCCACAAAGAAAGAAGAAATATATAAAAAACAAAGGGCTGAAAAGAAAAGGATGAATAAAGGGAAGTCATCTTTTAACCAACTCCACTGCACAAATACACCGATGACACCAGGATTATAGACATTATTGGAGGAAATATCGGAAATTCCTAATGAGAACCTTTGGTGTCACACAGAAGTAATGCTTCTCTTTTCAGCTGCGTACTCATATGTGGCAACAATTACAGCATTTCTTTATTTCAATTCATGAGTCAGATTATTATCAAAGAACAGCGGTACTAAACTAGTGTTGTAAAAAAAAAAAAACATTTGCCATACTTTCACCAGCTTGTTCTTGATTTCTCCTTGACAGTCTTTCAAAGACAACTTCGTGGCCATCACTATTGAAACCATATCTGTAAAAAACAAACAAAATCCACATAAATACAATTTAGCATCAATGGAGAAAAAAAACAACCAAGCTTAATCTACCAAAAGGTCTCTGGTGACTAACATGATGGAAGCACCCTTAAAATTTCTATAACGTTCAGGTAATATAACCTTTTTATTATGCCTTATTATTCTGGCAAAGGGTTGCTGCATTTTCATTCATATTTCTCCTGTTAACTTTATTCCATTTTCTCTGCCCATCTCAAGCATTTGTAAAACTTCTAGCTCCGACGATTGTAGGAAAGCGGGTTATTGAAAACTCAATGCGTGAAAGCAGAGTTTTTGAAAGAAGAAAGAAAACATCTTCCATATAAAACTATGATGTGGTATATCATAGTACACACACTATGAGAGCAGGGAGAGCAGCCTGGAAAGAGTGGCCTGGATCTTCTGCCCGGGTCACACGGGGGTAACCGGCAACGAGAGAGCAGACAAAGCTGGCTGGAGAAGCAAAAGTGGGAGGGAATTTGACACTGGACCCACCAACCGTCCTAACCGCTGTAAGGGAAAATTTGAGGAAGAATAGGGCGGATAGCGGTTCCCACACTCTAGGGAGACTGAAGGAGAAGGGGATCCAGAGAGGAGAGGGGAAACACAGCCATCTGTGCGGACCAGTCCGACGGATCTCCAACCAGATCATGATGGAAACTATAAGTAGACAGACTCTGGGATGGATCCTGAAGAGGGGGGGGAGAGCAGAGATGGACATGTTCCGACTGCAGTGACCCCAACACAGTGGACAAGTAAGGACAAGTAAGTAAGGACACACACTATAAATTTTTTTAAAACGCCAAACTATTTACTTCCTGTACGTAGGTCTATAAACATGATGGAACAGAAAACAGCAACAATAAAAATGTCTGTTGTATTTTCACACGGTAAGTAAACTTAAGGACCACTTATAATGCTGAGTGGCATTTTACAAATAAAACAAGTTCTTGGTCAACAAAAGAGCCCTCACCTGTTTATAACAGCTTTGTCTTCCTTCAGTCTAAACACCCTCGGAGTTGGGTTTCCCGGCTGTGGTGCCGGTGTGACGCTACCCACTTCCACAAAGCCAAAGCCAATTTTCAGCAGGCCATCGACTGCCTCCCCCTGCTTGTCATACCCAGCTGCCAGCCCAATTGGGTTGGGGAAAGACCTACCCCAAACCTCTGTTTTCTAGAATTTGAATAAAAAACAGCTGCTTTAAGGTATGAAGATCTCCGAAATGTCTTGGTGTCTTGAAAAACATGACTATATATTCACAGACAATAACACAACTGTCACACACTTATCAAAGAACTATACAAATAAAAATAAAAGATACAAGTAGAAATTTATTAACTGATTGTGTCAATTCCTTTAAACTGTTTGCAAAGTAAGCTAATATCAACAATTGCTTAAAAATGTTGAATCATATATGGTGTTTATTTAGAGAGAGAAGGTAATCTTCTAAGAAGGAAAAGCATGAAAATGAAAGTGGAATCAACAATGAAAGACTTCATCTCTGGCAATGAATGAATTTAATTGTTCCGTTTTGAAGATTAGCAAAGTTTAATATGGATGCTAAAGAATGACTCATCACTTGTCGGATAATGTCAATGAACTTTTAATGACTCAACGAGGGTACAAGTGATGACGACATCAACAGAAGTGAAATGGAAGACACAAGACAGTGATGCAGAACAGAATGAAATGATGAGTGATCGCACTGACAAATGAAACTACATGCATGAGTACCCACGGGGTGCAGAGTGATAATGACGATAGGACATGAAAATAACGGAATATAATGAGAAATACTAATAATACAGCTACAGATGCATCAAAACCCACAATCAGAACACCGTTCGTACTTACCAAAAGAGGGGAATCTGGCTTTTGAGGTTTCGGCACAATTTTGTACTTGGCCAGTTTGATGCCTAAGTTATGTGCAGTTTCTGCCCCAAACATCCTAAACATGGGCATTGCAATTTCCTCATAAAATTTATCATTGCCTCTGTATAAGTTGACACCAGCAAATATCATTATACCTCCATTCACTATCACAGCAGCCTGCCTTAACTGCACCTGAAGCAAAAAAATAAAAAATAAAGCTTAATTTTGAACATTGACAATTGTAAAGTTTCTTTGTAGCTCAAAACAGGCTATCCTATGTTCTAAAACAAAAACTGTACTGTTCACAGGAACCACAGTGAAGCGTACAAAGAAATGCCTCAGTGTTCATGATGTGGGGATCACAAAACTGAGCTGCAATAAAAAAGAATCAGGAATCGAAAGGATTGAGTTACGAATGAAATCTACTGACTGAAATATAAACAATAATACAATAAATGGAATAAATAATAAGACCTCCAACAGGATGCATCTGATGATGAAACGCAGCAAGTGAGACACAAAATGTACAGAGCTCCCGACATCATTTATTCTCAGTCCAGGTACTGGTACACAGTAGGCCCTCTATACTTGTCCTGGTGGGACAGGTGAAGAAATGGAAATGGATTGGGCACACCCTGAGGAGACCCCCCGACAAGTACCATCAGACAGGCTTTGACGTGGAATCCACAAGGAAACGTAAGAAAGGAAGACCACATATGATATGGTACATGCGGAAATGGAAGACGCAGGGACATCATGGAAACAGCTGGAAAAGGAAGAACTGGAGAAATGTTGATGGCCTCTCCACTGGGAGTTAAAAAGGGCAAGAGAAAGAGAGTAGGTATCAGCTGTGTTCTGCTCTTGACATTTTGTCCTTGCACAACCATAGATCTAGATTTCTAGTCTGGATAGATCTAGATCGGTTGGTGTTTTTGGGGGGTTTTTTTCACTGTGGTTTGCTGTTCCTGGTGAAAAGGCCTTCACCCAGCCCATTAAATAAACTAAACCTGAAACTTATCTCTACAATTTATAAAAGTATACTTTGTGCTGTTCTATGTGTGTCTGTGCTATAGACTATAGGCCTACTGAATGTTAGCACACCTGAGTGGGGTGAGAATAGCGAGACATGATAGCAGATAGGGCCTATTGGCTATTCTCACCCCTGGTGACTGGTGAGAATAACCACTTCCAAGGCAGATGCTCAACGTTTTCTGGTTTCTGAACACATAGGCGTTCTATTACTGATGCTTCCATTCCTCTCCGCCTCCCCTCTATTAAAACTTAAAGGCTCGAAACTTAGAAAACCATTCATTTTGAACCATTAAAATTGCAGCTCATTGACATTATCTTCCTTCAAAACTAAAGCATTTCAACAATGCAACATTGAAAGTGGGCTGCAATTATTTCTCCAAGTATGATTTAAGATTTGATTCCATAATGTTTGTAGACTGAACCGTTTGAGACATGGACCTTTGCCTTTACTGTTAATCCACTTCACAAGTCTCACTTGTGTAACCGTATTGTGCAAGACGGCAGACTGGGTACGATCGTCGCTGCACTCTACTGACAAATTTTGATAACAAGAAACAAATCTGTGATAGTTATATTATTGCAAAACAACGATCTAGACCTGTATGAACAGAAAATAGCATTAAAGAATTACCCAAAACTTGGATCCATTTGTAACTGGATTCATGATTAGATTCTAGCTTGAATTCGCAGAAACACCGCCACCGCCAAGTTCAACGAGCGTCGAGCAGCAAGCAAGACCTACTTTCGATTTACCCTTTATCAAGGCCCAGAATATGGTTATTCACAAGCACGTACGAATAAAAGTCAATAGTCGTGACCTTTGCTAAGGCCGTATGCGATCTTTGACCTTAAGTGACCTAATAACATACCAGGCCTTATGTGAGGAACTGAGCTAAATATATGAATACTATTGGGTTGAAAAACCCCAAAAACAAACACACAAACCCAAAACAAGCCAATTCAAGAATTTAATCCATAGGAACTGGGGACTGTAAAGTATTTTTTAAAAAGCGAACTAGTCTTAAATCGTTTTGTTTTTTCAATCAAGGACTTGGTTTACTTTTGAAGAGAACCTATGTATTAGGCTTGAGGGGGCCTATATGACAACCCCAGTCTCAAGGATAAGGTCAGGGATCTTAAATAAGAATAAGGTCAAGGATTTATCAGATTACGCACATATATGCCCAATCTACTCTGAATCATAGTGACAGATCTGCTGGTAGCCTATTCTTTTGAAATTAAAGAGACTTGATATGCTACAAATAGAATATAAATTATTCGTAGTTGATTCTTTTTCGAAGCTACGGGCTATGTATCTTTGCTTGACCTGAAGTATTAGTGGCTTCCGGTAAATGAGCATCCGGTCGTAAGTAAACCGGTGTCGTCAACAAGCGAAAGTACAAGCACTGTCTCTCTGCTACAAAACTCAGCTTTATCAATTCTGCTATTGGGAGCACTGCAGAGGGTTGCAGCAGTGCAGAGTAACTTTCTTTTGTGACGAATATTATACGTCAAGATGACAGCTTTTGAAGGTGTGTCTCTTGTCTAAGAAAGACAACATCATAATTTACTTTTCTTTACAATTTAGTCTTTTGTAAGGAATTTTAGGCCACCCGGCTAATACTAACATTAGCAGTGCAGTTGTAAGTCTCTCAGCCGGGGTGAGAGGGCAAATCTTCTGGCTATTATCACATGGTTCACCGCTTGGCTTAGTTAGTGCATCGGCCCGGGCCGAATTGTGCTTATAAATATTTAAGCACGTCTTGGCTCAGACCGATCCCTCCGGGTGAGAGGGGCGAGCCTTTTCTTGGCTCTATTCTCTCCCGGTGTGCGTTCACCATGATGCCAGTGTAAACAAACATTCCAGCTCTCCTTTCCTGAACGTTCGGAGAAATAGTGCCCAGCTTTATTTTCCCGAACGTTCGGAGAAATAGAGTTCGTTCGGAGAAATAGATCTAGATCTAGAAATCTAGATCTAATAGGCTATAACTATAGGCTATTTAGTGCCCAGCTTTATTTTCCCGAACGTTCGGAGAAATAGTGCCCAGCTTTATTTTCCCGAACGTTCGGAGAAATAGTGCCGGGATGTATTTTTATTCTCACCCGGGATGAGAATCTATAGCCTCTTCCTTTCTTTTAATTGGTGCTTTTTCGGTAGTTCCCACCCCGCAATTGTTATTTGCCGGTTTTGGCCTCAAGAGTAGGGTGGTTTCAGGGTTGCCCCCCTGACCTAATAAAAATATGGTGGGGGGTTTCAGGGGGGCATGCCTCCCTGAAGTTTCCCATAATTTGATGTTTTGCAGTTGTTAGGTTTGATATCTTAGCTCGCCGCGCATCACACGTATAGATCTCGATGTAGGTCAGGCTCAAAATAAAGGGGGTGGGAACTACAGAAAAAGCACCTTTTAATTTAGTAGATAGGTATCTAAAATCTAGTTCTAGCCTAACCTAAAACAAGAAACATGTCTCTGGTTTCTAATTCTAATTCTAACTGTACTAACAGCTAACCATTCGGCCTAACAGTCAGTAGACTCTGTATTATCAACAGTGCACACTCTTGGTAAATTTTTACTTTCACTACCGCACTCAGGTGCACTGCGTTGGGCCACTGGGGCCACTAAAATTGTTGCAAATCAGTTATTTTCTCTAGATAATTTCAGTCCTAGGCTTACAATTGAACCTGTGTAAGACGAAAACCTGTCCCAACTGAATATCTCCGCTCCATCCTTGATAAACTCTTTTAGTTTGGTTCAGTCGGCTTTAAGCTTTACGCCATGCCACCAGGGGAGGAAGGGGGAGTAGGGGTGCAATTTGGGGCTTGATGTTACCCCATCCATGTAAGCCCTTAATGGTGTAGGCTAGATGCTCAGGTTGGTGTGGGTGTGAAATCTCATATCAGTGAGGGCTTGAGTGGCCCTCCAGCACAGGAGCTGTCATGGGTAGCCAGAGGTGTGAAATTAATTTGACCAATGCCTTCTGCCCTGATCATACTGACAGCCGAGAAAAGAATTCCTTGAATCATTTTTTACTTGACAATGAAGGGTGGCATTGGTTGACTGTGCTTGTTACAACGATTGGTGGGGCTAAGGATGGAACCAAAGGAGATGTTCAAATGTTTCTGTTTTTAATTGGTCAAACTGTGGTCCTATGAGAATGCAAGCACTCTTGTCAGTGGATAAATATAAGTAAGACTGAAGCATGCCATTATCAGAGAGGATAACACTTTTGAGAGGCGGAAAGTTTTGACCATTACTTCTTGATCCTTGATCCTACCGGCTGGGCCTTTGAACTCCCCGCACCATCTCCCTGTAAATTCCCCTGTCTATGACGGAAAATGTCTACTGAATTTTTTTCTGGCTCCCTTGCGATTCCGTCTTACTAAGTTCTACTGTAATTGCAGAACACTATATTATGGGGAAAAAACAGGGCGGCATGCCCCTCCCTATAACCCCAACAGTTTTTTTTACTTCAGGCTTCGGGGGGTGGGGTGGGGGGTGGGCAATCCTACTCTTATTGATTTTAGGACCACCCAGGGATCTTTAACATATACACTACTTGCACATGGGACCTCTGAGATTTTTGCCTACCCTAAGATCAGGAAAGTGGCTGAAAGACAGCAGTAAGAAGGAGCCAAGGAATAGCAGTAGAAAGGTTGCAGAAAGAGTAAAGGAGCCCAGAGGAGGGGGCTCAAGAGGATGGGGGCTGAAAGTGGAGACGAAAGCAGATGACAGAACATGGTTATAATAGATTCTAGAGCGGAAAAGGAGGTGAAAGAAGAAAGTCATTGTTTTCAAACTTGGGACCTATTGAATGAAAGATGAACACCGTAACCTCTAGAGCACGAGAGCCCCCGAGCTGAGGTGTTAAGTTTTCATATGCTGAGTGATTACAGACAACGCCTATCATAATCATTGAACAACCCTTTCACACTGTCGCCCCACCAAGCCTGGCTGGTCACTTGCTTTCCTCATTGTACCATTCTGTCTCACATCTGGTTCCTGTACATCTTTTTCTCCCTGGCAAAGCCACAATTTCAAGTTAAAAAAGGAGAGCATGTGGTGTTTTTGGGTGGATCTTTTTCTGAGACTAGCATCTATAGGAATGGTCATGCCATTAGAGGGAGTTGTTAATTTAGAACTTGTAGTTGTGAGTGATAATTATATAGAAAAAATAGCGTTTCCGCACTGCCAGCATGCTTTAAGTTAAAAGGCAGAACACGCTTTCATCCAGCCTGCTGTTGGAGTCAACTGTAGTATACCATACTAAGTATAGAACTTCAGTGGTCATGATATTAGTCATTATAAATAGGTGTAAAGTAAAGCATGGCTTGTCAACTTTTTGTAGAGTGTTACACAAAAGATGCATTGTTCAAAGTTTGCTTGGTTAATACAATGTATTTGTAGTTTTAAGGAAGGGTCAAATGCATTGGAATAAGGTGATTCATAAAGAATTGTTCTCTCAGAATTATGTGAAGGTTGTGAGGGCACATTTGCCTTTCATGTTAAAGTACCGTGTGCAGTTCTGGATTTATGCAAGTGGAAGGCTTTGCATGGTGGGTTATGAAGGATTTTTTCCTATTTATTATTATTCTTACAAAACACTCAATCTTCTCAGATAATGACAAAAAACTTGAGGAAGGTTTTATATATGGGTATTTTACTTTTATAAAAGAGGCCAGATGAAGTTTGAAGCAGAGAAAAATTGCTTTACTTAGGCCAACCGTCAAGCTTTTCCTCTGACCATGACCAAAGAATTAGTGTAATTGAATACTCAGTTCACGCCGCAAATTGGATTCACTGACTTAAGTGAGGGTCAGTCAAATTTCCTTCATGGATGGGGCAAAAGCTACTATTCTGGCACAATACGATGGATTTGACTTGCGACCTTGAAAAACAAATATACTTTATTTTTAACGTTACAGTCAAGTTCATTTTTTAAAAATTCCCAAGATCCACAATGGATTGATAGAGATGTCATTGTGAAATCGACCTTTTTATCACATTATTCAGCAGATAATTTGTCTTGTGATCCCTGCTGACAAGCATCTTCCAGAAACTAAATCTGTTTGCTCAATATGACAATACAATAAGAAGCACTGAATATACTTTTTTTGTAATGTTGGTGATGTTTTAGTTTCTTGATCTAATTCCACAGAAATGGGTGTAATGCCAGAAATTGGCAAAGCTGTTGAGGAAATGGACTGGAGGTAAGTGATTTAAATTTAAAGATAAATCTCAAAATTTGCAAAATACAGCGCACACGTTTCAGTCATAGTATGTCAATGACATAGATTTGTAGGAAGAAAGTCTGATATTGTTAATCTATATAGATGCTATAGGTTTAACTCTTTATCTCCGGCAAGCAGCTCGCAGCAGCTCGCAGTCGGAACTGCTGTGCCGGTGAGCCGCTGGCAGTGTCTCGGGCACATTCCTTTGTGACGAATTTGATGTCAAATTACTTTTCGTCAATTGCTAAAAACATGTCTCTTTTACTGGGAGATCATTCATTAGATGAAGAACTATCGCATTAGTTTCAATGTTTGAATTTAATTTCCAGTTTAGTGACATATATATGTAAATCAATTTTAGATTTTGCACCAAAATAGGGCCCGGCATAGTGGGTTTACTCCCCATGGAGATAAAAGAGTTAAGACACGATATTTTGGATCGATTTAAAAAAGAAGCATAACTTTGCTCTTATTACTGATTTTACAGTTTTGTTTTCTTTAACTGAAATTTTAAAAGACAGGCAACAACATGCATACTATGAAGTATGCAAATTTGTGTTTCTAATTTGTGGATGATGGTTTGAAATCTGCGCAATATTGCCATTGATCTGTTGATCGGACTTATGTGTTAGCTATGGTCTTAAAGAGGGTTTTTTTGTCTTCTTAATTGTGTATGCTTATAAATTTCATTCATTTTTTTTTTTTGGGGGGGGGGGGTGTCACTGCTGGACATCTCAATGCAACTCATTTCAAAACAAGTTGCCGTAATGTTTCAATCTGTCCTTTCAATCTTTCAGCTTACCCACCGATGTTCAATCAGAGGCTATTCCTATGATTTTAGGAGGTGGTGATGTATTAATGGTGAGTCCATTGGTCATAGCACAGAATTTCTGTATCAAAATTTTTCTCCTGGATTTATTTTGAATTTACGCAAGTTTTACCTTTTTTCCCTACCAGTATTGTCCATAAAACAGGGCTACTTTTTCCTTTAGATTTTTTAACACTCGTCTTCTGTCGTTATTGTCACAAGAAACCTTTGTAGCTCTCCAAACGACCCCCCGGGGCGGTGCTACTGACTGAAGTGTCTTTAGGCCATTCCCAAAGGGGGGACATTAACTTGTTCTTGTGTACAGTAGAATTGTAAATTGGCTGGTTCATCAATGTCATGCTCATAACTGTGCCTGAACTGCAACAGGGAACTGCTGCTTTTTCTTACCTAATCCTTACTATTACTATCGTCATTTTATCCTCTACTTCTTTTGTATGTTTGTCACACTTTTGTGACCCTATTTCCGGGTGACCTTGATAGTCGAAGCAGACTTTGTACTGTTGAAACTAGAGAGGTGAGCAGAGTAAGGCTGAAAATATACTGTCACGCACAACTTAAGTGCACCACGAAATGGCTGAGCAGCTAGGTCGGAAGTGGTGATCCCATAGGTCTGCACGACTCCGTCCGACTGTGTTAAAAAAAATTGTGCTGAGCAGGCGTATACAGCTCAGTGGTCGCCCCCCCCCCCCCCCTTGTTTTATCTACTCGGCGTCCCGGAACACTCCGATAGCAGAGCGAGCCTGTCCGCACACGAAAAAGAAGCGCTGCACGCACACACGTCTTTTTGGGTCCCCATGACTCCTCATGTCTAGTCGTGTCAGCGAAATCACCAATAGGAAATAAAGAGGAGGGCACGAGTTTTTTACGCGGCGCACTTCAGTTGTGCGTGGATGTATATTTTCAGCCTTAGCCTGATTCCCTGTAAAGACTTTTCTGTTGACATCCACCCCTTGGTGCTCATATGACCTTATGCAGTTGCGAGTGCCGTAAAAACTCTCTAACACTAAAAGCTCTCCAAACATCTGTATATCTTTTATGTCTACATTTTATCAAAATAAAATTTTTCAAGTGCCACAAAGTAGATGATCAAATACTTTAGAAAAATAGATGTGACTTCTGATATTTAGAGAGCGTTCAGACACATTTTTACAATTATTGGTTTACTGTGGAAATTCCATAATGATTTTTTACAGCAGATGCAAACATCAAAACGTATAGGCCTATATAATACAGCGTGGACGTAACTGTCAAAACTCTGAAACTTGCAAGCTTGTGTAAATGTTGAATTTGTAAAAGAAAGGATTTCATTGTACTTCAAGAACCTCATTGTGCCTTACAGGATCAGTTTTCACATATAGTGTAGGGTGATCAGCTCATTCTTAGCTAAATTAAGCTGAACGAATCTTTTCTGGGCAGATAGGTACCTGGTCTTCTTATAAAGAACAAATTACAAGAAAAGTCCAATACTGCAAGGAAAAGCTACTAGAATATTTTAATAAAAGACGTAAAACCGATCTTTTGGAAATATTCATGTTTAGATATGTTGAGATGGAACATTCATTGATAAAGGACATTCTCAGACCATGTATTATTGTTTATGTGAAAATTTCATCTAGTCTGTAAACATTTCCCGATTTCTTTCAGGCTGCAGAAACTGGCAGTGGTAAAACTGGGGTAAGTTACAGCAATAGTATCACTTTGCTTTATGGTTTGTTCCTTATGTAAATGTGTTTCAAGACACTTGTCCGACAAGACTCTCCAGGAAAACTCTGCTTTGTCAAACGTCTTTGATGAGTTCATGATCTGTTGTTGGATGAGTTCCTCTTCTTCCTCTTCCTCTCTCCCTTTCTCTCTCTCTCTCCCTCTCTCCCTCTCTCTCTCTCTCTCTCTCTCTCTCTCTCTCTCTCTCTCTCTCTCTCTCTCTCTCTCTCTTTCTCTCTCTCCCTCTCTCTCCCTATCCCTCTCCCCCCTTCTCTCTCTCTCTCTCTCTCTCTCTCTCTCTCTCTCTCTCTCTCTCTCTCTCTCTCTCTCTCTCTCTCTCTCTCTCTCTCTCTCTCTCTCTCTCTCTCTCCCCCCCCCCCCCTCCGAACTCCGAAATCAATATATTTGATTTTGATATCTCTGCATCAGATGAAGGATTTTTTTAACCTTTAGGACCAGGGTTCAAGTTATTTGTAATTAAATTTTTCTTTCTTTTGTTTTTTGTGGTTATTGTAAAGTTTGTACTCATAGCACTGAATAGGTTGGGAAAAGAAGACATCTGTTACAAGAGACTTTCAACAGCAGTCATTTATTGCGTAGAATAAATAGTTGTAAATTTAATGTTTAAGGAGAAATGTCACCTAGCATTTTTAATTAATTGGGATGGATAGTATTAGTTCTTATTCTCAGTTGTCATGAAGTCTTTCCTGTTAAACCCTTGTTTATTTTATATTTCTTTTTAGAAAAAAAAATATATGCATGCCTTAATGTCTCTTTGTTTGTCTTGGGCAGGCCTTCTGTTTGCCAATTTTACAAACTGTACATGAAACCCTGAAAGACATCCGAGAAGGGAAGTCATCAGCAAGGAAGTCCAAAAAGGGTGGAGGTGAGATTGTTTTCTTAGTTCACCTGAAAAAGTTTTTTTCTGTCCCAAACATGAGTATGGTTGCAGTAAAGTGCACCTCCCATTTTTATATGATATTACACATTGTTCCTTATAATTATGCTTATCTTTACCGTAGTACATAATTAATGTAGTTTCCCCGACATCCTGGGTCACCCCAGCAGGCAATAAACAAAGCTGCCTGCCTCTTAAAGGATCTAAATTATAACTGTAGGAACATAAACCGTATCTGTACGTCATGTTTTACTATCGTATCCATACAACGTGGGGAACTCTGTTCCACCACTTTCAAAGAAGAAATTTACTCGTTAATCCTATCTGTACGCTTCGCAAAGCAGTATGTCAAAATGAATTTTTGAGAAATACTGAAAGTTTCAAGGAGATCTTTGTACTAGAAGTATTTTAAAATGTGAAGAATACAACCCTGGGGTACAAAATGACCCCAGGGTGTACGGATTGGGTTAAAAAGAAATTAAAACTTACAGTTTACTTACTTCATATTTATTATCGGAAGAGAAGATTGTTATCATCAGAAGAGAATTTTATGTCTATACATATCTTTTTATTCTTTCTTGAATTTACCATGATTTAGGTAATCTAGTCTCATGGTGTTTGTAGTACAGTAATATTCGCCAATTATTGTGCAAAATGAGTGATTATTCCTGCAGCTTTTGAATGAAAGATAGCATCCTGTCTCATTTTTTTATTTTTCATTTTCACTTTTTTAAAAGGATTTGGCTTTTGTTTCCCTCTTTCATTGCAGGTGGAAGTCAGTGGAAGATGAATATGTATGATCGAGGTGACGCTATGGGTAAGTATAGTAAAGAGCATAGTAGTTTGCTGAGGTATCGTTGTGTACATATTTAGCTCCTGTATTTAGGAGATTGTCTTTTTATTGTCTTGTCTCTGGTACTGAAACTGCAGCTCTTTGTATACTGATAAAAACCAGTGTATCTATGGTTTGTAGATGTACTTAAAAAATAATTTGTTCGCTTGTGTTTGTAAAGAAATTGAAACAAAGGAAAGAGAATTGGAGTACTCCATGTCTAATTAGGTTGAGACTAGGCTATGCACCATATTTTTGAGGAATAATTTAGGCTCTTGGCTTTTGTTTCTTTTTTTTTTTTCGCCTGCTTCTTACCATATATTTATACACATTTTATATTTACAAAGAGAGAGACAGGGATGTACAGAGATTATGTAAAATGAAATTAAATATTATGAAGTCCCGGAATTGGGTACAATTAAAGCTCTTTGAATTAAGTGATTGTACCCTTAATTTTCCAGCCATTGATCCAGATGGACTTCTTTGTCAAGCAAGAGATGCGCAGGGCTGGCATGGGACAAGGGCCAGTAAAGCTGTTTGTGGAAAAGGTGTGTTTAAAAAAAAAATGTTTTATTATCAAAAGGCCTTCTAGAATATGTTTTAGATAAGAGGTTTTATAACGTCGCTGTTGCAAGAAAATTTACGTGACCCTCTTTGCCCTTGCTATATATCATCATCATCAAGTGTCTTGTCTGGAGCTAACATTTGCAGTTTTGGTTCTCCATCCCTCTTTCATTTTAACACATTACGCCATAACTCGCCCGGGACCGCCTGGAAATTCCCTTACGCGCTCCACCCTGACTCGCCCGGAACCGCCCGCGCCGACCTAGTGTCTTTAGAAACGAAGTCTCACCATGACGAGACTCTGGGGCCGAGTTTTTGATTTGCATAGTTATTGCAAAAAGTTTCTTCATTCCTTTGATACCGAAACGAAACTTTTCGGGTCAGTAGTTTTAGTATAAGAGGCGATGGAAGTGCGATCGCGTTCCTGACACTTCGATGGTGTCTGGACTTGTTGAAAAGCGACACAATTGAGTTCGAAAAAGGAAATAATGGTGGATTTGAGCAAAAATAGGCATATGACAAATCAGATGACTCAGATTTTGATGAAAACGTAGCAAGAGTTTGGGGCGATTCAGATTGATGAGACGTAGCAAATCTAGAATTTAGATCTAGGGCCTGACCGCTAGGCTGAGAGTGAGAGTGACGGGTCGGACACCCCGATTGAACTAAAGTTAGAACATTTCCAACAGTTTGTGCATACGTAAAGTGAAACTAAACATTCATTTTTCGTTATAACTTTTATTTTTTCAGGATTTTTGAAATTGGTTTAGTATTTTTTTAAATGTGTTTTTTAAAGGCTTGTATTCACAGGGGGTGGGTTCCTTCCCCTTGCTTAAGATCTTACAATGAACTTCCCGTCCAGACCCTTACGGTGTAATGTGTTAAGACTGTCATGAATGCATAATTGTTGTTTACTGTACTGTTCTTTGAGCGGTTGTCCAGGCTGTTTATGAATCTGTGGCAGGTTAAGATATTGGAATTACTGATTATTTTTCTTGCAACAGCAATGATAAGCCTGATTTATTGAAGATATATTTTGAAGGACCCGAAATAAATTGATCTGCTTCTTCAGAGGACATGAAACAGCACTGAATAAATAAATGATATATCATTTGTTCCAAACATCTCAAAGATCAGAGGATGAAGCCTTGCTCTCTTCAATGGCTTGATTCTACGTTTGAAACAATTTTTTGTCAAAGTTGTGTGGTGCTTAACTGGCTTTGCTGGTTTAGTCTGGGTTGTTTGTTTGTTTTTTTGCCCCTTCAAGTCATTTGCCTAATGTCATTACATCGTCTTCATTCACAGGAAAGTACTATTTTGAAGCCATTGTCACTGATGAGGGTCTTTGCAGGGTGGGGTGGTCGACCGCCAAGGCCAAACTGGATCTAGGGACAGACAAGTTTAGTTTTGGCTTTGGTGGGACAGGGAAGAAGTCCTGGGACAAGCAGTTTGACTCCTATGGAGAGGTGAGTGTACTGGGAGGATCAAGTTCTGGTGGCATATTATCTTTGACATCACTTCTTTTTACACTTCAAAATTGAGAAATTATGACTATTATGATCTTTCTTAAAAAGGTGAACTGTTACTGAGCTTGATATTTATTGTTGAAAATTGTATATTTGTGTCATCCGTGTAAGCAGAGTATTTTGTTGTTGAGTAGGGCTGGGCTGACAGTGATGATAAAAAGAATTTTTGAGAAAAAAGCATCTTTATGTGCCCTTCTCTCTCTATATTTGAATGAAACAATCATATCATAACAAAGAGCAAATTGATTTTAAAATGGAGAATCTCCCGGACAAAGCTCATGTTTTTATGTTGATAATTATGACACATTGTCGCTAGTTTCAGCTAAATTTGCAGGAACGTTTTCATTCTTTATTGTCTTTCTCCAGTGGTTGCTTTTCTAAAATTTGGATTTCAATTTGAAGATTCACATGTCACTTTAAGCAGTCTATTAATTGGTCGGACTAGTACTGTAGAGATTTGCATCTCAGTACCATGAGACAATTTGTATGAAAGCTAATTAGAACTTAACTTTGATGTTCCTTCCATTAATATACAGTAGTCTCCGGCTAAACGCACGCCATACAAAAGCACGCTCTGCTCAAACACACGCTTTCGTTGTCTGGCGGGTTTTTTACCATATAATTTAGACGTGCAAACGCACGCTCACTCCCTCTAAATGCACACTCCGATCTGTGAAACACGCCGACAGGTAAAGCTTGACTAACACTAAGGGAAATTTTCTCTACGACAAGCCGAGAAAACCGGATATTTGGTGAGACTGCCCCTTACGCGGAACAAAGACAGTGATGGACAGCGTTTTCACACCCAACTTTCCACTGACACATTGGTTTAGGACTGGTCGGTGAAATCCTAGGGGGGTTTGGGGACTGAAACGTTATTTGATTGGTCACTGGAAATGCATCTCTTTGAGAGAAGGTTTCTGACTGGTGTTTGAGTGACTGCATGTTAGCTAATATGATTCGCAACACACATGAATGCTCATTCATGAATTTACGGTTGGGGTGGTCGCTTGGAAAGCCACGTGGCTGGGCCGTCGTCTCTATGACTATCAGTACTAGGTCTATCACCAACAATTTCTTTTCAGGCTATTGGTTCCCGACATTTTATGGTTCATTCACTACATCAAGTCTGTCTTTCTGCCCCCCCCCCCACACACACACCTATTCAACGCCTTTGCAGTCTTAACTGCAGTCGAGGAATCTTTTACAAAACAGTCACGTGTCGCCACATTATCAGCCAAAGTCACCCCCACCCCAAAGGGAGGTAACTAGTATATCAAGGCAATGAGATGACTGCGTCCCTTCCTCCCTTTGCTAAGGTTCATGTAAATGCACGCTTCGTATAAACACACGCTAAGCAGCCCTCCCGAGCACCGTCCGTTTAGGCGGAGACTACTGTAATGCTTTCATGAAGTAGAGGTGGCGAATTTCCGAATAAATCTCGAAATCCAGATTCATGAAATTGTCCTGATCTTGCCCAATTCCAGGCCAAGTGCTGAAAGGTTACAGCGTTTTGTATAAAAAACTGTCTTGACACAGATGTATTATACAAAATTATCTGCACATTTTAGTTCTCATAAGTGCATTTCCACAGTGTCCGAAAAGCCAGGAATTTTTTCATAGTCAGTAAGCACTTCTGATAAACTTACTTTTCTCCTTCTCTACAGGCGTTTGGTATGAATGATGTGATCGGCTGTTATTTGGACCTTGACAAAAGAGAGATCAGATGGTCAAAGAATGGTGAGATAATGTTGCCTTGTGTCTAGCTAAGACTGCAAACGACATTCTAATAGACACCTTAAAAATAAAAGTTTCTGTTCTGACACTGACTTTTGTATGGTTATTAAAACAGAAGATAATTCTAGTTGAGGGGATGGGGAATCTCAATGTGATTACTTACGGCTTTTGTAGCATTTCATTTTGACTTAATTTTAATATTAGTTAAGGCCTACTTTTTTTTTTTTTTTTTTTTGGGGGGGGGGGGGGGGGGGGGAGGCAACACTTTTGATTTTCTGTAATAAAACACAGATGTCATTCAGTTGTCAGATTGCTTTTAACTTTATTAATTACAGTTGTGCTCTTAGAAGGTCCTAGTCATGTAGTACCTCATCTCGAGAACTCGGTTTTCAGGTGACAAAATGTTGACCAAAGTGTGATGGTATGCCACAAAACCAAATGTGTGAGGGCACTTTCTACATTCTCTTTCCTTTTGACCTCTTCGCTGCCGCACCTGTAGAATTTACTGGCCTGCACCGTTTAGCGCTGTGCCTATTGCCCAAACAATTTACGGGACTGTAACAGGTTGTTTTGATATCAATTATAAGTCATGTCACTTTTTTACCTGCAGACACTCACACAACATGTATTCCCCTTTTTTTGGTCTCAGTTTATCATTACTCGAATGTGTGTTGTGTTATGTTGTTTGGTGGTGTTGTTTTTGGCATCATGTTACTAACCCCCAACTTTTCTCCATCCATCTCTCAATGAAATCCCCCTAGAATTATATCAATAGAAATATGGTTCAATGTAGAATGTACATGTAGAAATTCGTGAGGAAATATTGATAAATAAAAAAGTTATGGGAGGTAGAGTGGGGTCATCCCTGAGCAGCCTGCGGCATTGAAGGGGTTAGCAGTAATGCACAAAAAATGTATTTTTGTGTTTGCGAGTTACGTTTTTCATGGAAAAAGGAGAGACAAATAATAAATCCTAATTCGGACGACAGATCTTAGTACGCCTATCTTATGTATAATTTACTGTTAAGTATTTGTTTTGTCTTTGTGTGGCGTCTTTCAGGAATTGACTTGGGCAAAGCGTATGATATTCCTGGACATCTGTCTAATGAGCCATTCTACCCTGCTGTTGTACTGAAGGTATGTGTTCGTTACACTTTCTTGCTGTGTCAGCACTGAGGCTTTAGGAGAGTTTGTCAGTTTGACTCTTTATCTCAGGCAAGCCGCTCCAAGCTGCGGTCGGAACCCCTCTACCAGTGAGCCGCTGACAGTAGCTTGGACACATTCCTTTACGACGACTTCGACATCAACTTACTTGCCGAAAACAGGTCTCTTATACCGGAAGTTCATTCATTAGATGAAGAACTATCAAAATAGGTTTGCTAGTTTCGATTTAATGACCTATTTAATGAGGTTTTTGTTATTTTTAGATTTAGCACCAAAAAACGGCCCCAGCATAGTGGGTTTACCCCTCTTGGAGATAAAGAGTTTTAAAAAAATTTCTGTCTTGATCACCGTTAAGATGACATCTTTGACATGACATCAGTGACTGACGAGACGACATGCAGTGTTTTCATTGGTCTAAATAAATGGCATTTTTTGTTTGTTTAAAGTAAACCTGACGTTAGCCATATATCTCGAGGAACAGATTAGAACTGCAGATAAATTGAAAAAGTAGAAGAAACCAGATCAATGACATCAACAGGCTTGTGTGTACTTAAGGCATTTATCACACACCCTGTTTCTGCGACTTCTATAAGGTGTGACAGCTAGAATTGTGACAGTATAAATATTTTTCTTCTTCCTTTGTGTCTTATGTAACAAGGTGGATTGAGAATCAGTCAGTTTCTGTCCCCTAAAACACCCCTTTGGTAAAGAGATAAAGGATTTTTTTATCTCATTGAATCTTACGACACTCCTTATGTTAGAGGAGCAGTGTTAATTCAGTACATTGTTTATATCAGCATTAGCAACTGCTTGATAAAATGATGAATATGCATGAGGGCATACTGTAAGTTGACATCGTCCTTTGTCCACATTGTTATGTCTTGATTGCCAGCCTGTCTTTTTTACTTTCAGAATGCAGAGATGCGGTTCAGTTTTGGGAAAACAGAATTCAAATTTCCGCCACAGGTACGCCATAGTACTTCAAACTTGCTGGCAGTCCTTATCTTTTTGTTTCTCTTGTGAATGATAATGGGTTGTTTTAGATAGGGGAAAAAAAGCAGGCATTTCAGGGTACCATTAATTTCTTCCCTTTATGCATTCTTGATCGGTGCCTGTAATTATCTACACAAAAACACCATGTTTGCTTTAACGAACGCTTGGATTCAACAAAATTGAAGGTCAGGCCTGACGACTTCTTGAATTGAGTTCCACCGTATCGTCTTTTATGCACATCCTTGGTACGAAAAACAACAACAATAAGACACTTTTTCTTTGAGTGTGTTTTGTTTTTCCATGCAGTGAATTAATACTTTTTGATTTGTTGATAAAGTTGTGCGAATAACAATATTTTTCCCTTGACTTGTGGCACAACGGCTAGTTTTGAGTACTTAATGAAAGGTCATTGTATATATTTTTTATAATGATCTTTACTTTTACAAAATCGAGTAACTTTAATTAAATCGTATTTTAAAGAGTTCTTTTTTGTTAATATAATGTTGCGTTTTCTTTTCTCAACTTGATCAGAGTTTGTATTTCTTATGCTTGAGTAAAGGGAAGGAGAGACATCTTTATAATTTGATATTTTGTTTTTTACTGCAGTCTGCTAGAATCATATTATTTATTTATCGTTTGTTTTCATTTTTCCTTATTTGGATGTCAGTGGGTAGCTTGTGTGCTATCTTTTTTTTTTTTTTTTTAGGCATACCTATACTGAATCCACTACAGCAGAGAGTAACACAGAAAAATAAGAGCTCAAGAGGGTTGAAAGCTCAAAATTCAGTTGAGACCTTCACACGTTCATTTTCTTTTTGCTTGACAGGGTGGCTATATAGCTGTGTGTCAAGCCAGTGGAGATTGCTGCCTTGATTCCAAAATTGTTGGTGAGTGCCTCGTGATGGTATCTGGGCATTCTTGTTTGTATTGAAATTCTTGTGAGAAATGTAAATGTCCTCAAGAAAGTGGTTTGAGTGTGGCCTTACTACTTCTCCACTTGACAATATTTCTATAATAATGACGGAATATAAATAATTTTTGACAGAATTGACATTTGGTGGGTTGGTCAGTCACAGCAATCAGCAGTTTTTCTTCATGGCTTGATATGCTTGTTGAATAGAAGGCAAAAAAATTCAGTATACAAGTTGCTGAATGCAAGAACTAAGTTTGAAGAAAAAGACTTGCACAGTTAAAGTTTAGTACTTTTCATTTGTGGGAGATTGTTAAAAAGAGAAAATGGCTTGAATTTTTCTTAGATGCAGACACCAAATATGGAGTTGTTTTGCTTCTATAGGAGTAGTTCTTTTTGAAGAATTTTCTATGGTACGTAAAACTCTGTGTGATTTCTTGCAGAATTGCCTGCTCTAATGATTGTACTGTTATTGGGCCAGTTTTGACTTGCATTTGCACTTTTTCCTTTGTTAGAAAATCAGAGTGAAATCCATTGTTTTTCATTTTCATCTTTTCATTGGACACATAGGTCAAAGTACGGCCAATGCTGCTCCAGCTCCCAATGCACCGCAGGCAATTATCATCGAGCCCTCTCGTGAGCTGGCAGAACAGACGCTGACTCAGATTCAGAAGTTCAAGAAGCATCTGGACAACCCGGATGTCCGCGAGCTACTGATCATCGGCGGAGTGAATGTCAAGGAGCAGACAGATGTGCTGGCCCGTGGGGTGGACATAGTCGTCGGCACGCCAGGTCGTTTGGAGGATCTCATCTCTACCGGCAAGCTGGCCCTGCACCAGGTAGGTGCACAAACTTATTGTCAATTCTTGACAAAGTTTGTGAATTGTGATTGCCTTGGATTACTCACACTGGTGTCTGTGGTGTAATAGTTAGGGGTTTTTTTTTCCGTTGCATGCAGATGACATGAGTTTAACCCTATCCGTACATTGTGTTATACTATTGTATCTATACGACATGGGGACCACTTTCCAAAGAGGAAATTTACTCGTTAATCTGATCCGTACGTACGCTTTGCATAGCAGTCTGTCAAAATGATTTTTTGAGAAATACTGAAAGCTTCAAAGAGATCTTCGTACTAGGAGTATTCTAAAATGTGAAGAATACATCCTCAGGGGTACAAAATGACCCCTGGACGTACGGATAGGATTAATTCTGAATAGAGGTTGGGACTTATTGTAATAGAGTCCATCTACTGAGATAATGTAACTAATCAGATGAGGTTGGCCGTGACACACAGGGTCAGAGCAGCCCACCTCCTAAATATTTGAAATATATCTATTGTGTTGTAAAACATTCTTACAGGCAACTCACAATCAATTGAATGGTTCCAGCATTTTTCTACTTTTGTGCTGTCACAGTTGGTCTTCTTGCTTTAGGAAAGTTACATCTATCTTGAATAGAAGCCACCTTGTGTCAAAAGTAAAATTAGTGAGAAAATGGCCTCTAAAGTTTGGTTACTTCCAAAGCTTGAATGTTCTTGGAAATTGCAAATTTACCATTTTTTGGACCTTTGAGTTTGGTTAACATTTTTCAGTAAAAAACCGCACAGTAATGTATTTTTAAATAGGCATAATAGGTGTTGAACCAAGTGACAAAAATAATAAAGCTACTCAAATGGCAGAAAAATGCCTCTCACATATATATATATATATATATATGCAAAATATTGCAATTTTGCTTTGTATTTTCATAAAGTTGTCTGTTAGACTGATTCATATTTGATATAAAAGCAGAGTATTAATGAACTTCACATATACATCTCTCCAAACTACACCTATGGTGTAGTGTTTAGGCGCTTCATTGTTGCATACAGAAGACCCTGTTTGATTCCTGTGATGAGAGAAGTTTTCCTGAGTATATCAACCTTTTTGTTTGGACATTGTATCCCTCTCAGTCGTTTCTTTAGTCCTGACAGGCAGAGTCAAGGTCTGCCTCCTAAATTATCTAGATTGTGTTGATGTTGGGGAGCGTTAAAACACCTACATTTCATTTTTCATCTTTATCTGACAGGTGCGATTCTTTGTGCTGGACGAGTGCGACGGTCTCCTCTCCGCTGGCTACGGGGACCTCATCAACCGCCTGCACCAGCAGATTCCCAAAGTCACCAATGACGGCAAGCGTCTACAGATGATCGTCTGCTCGGCCACGCTGCACTCTTTCGATGTGAAGAAGATGGCGGAGAGGCTGATGTACTTCCCCACCTGGATTGACCTGAAGGGCCAGGATGCCGTGCCGGAGACGGTCCACCATTGTGTGTGCACGGTGGACCCGGCGGTGGACACTCAGTGGAAGCAGCTCCGACGTCAGATCAAGACGGACGCGGTCCACGAGAAGGACCGGATTAACCCCGAGTCACACTCCGCAGAGACATATTCTGAAGCTGTCAAGCTACTCAAAGGAGAGTACGTCATTAATGCTATTGATGAGCACAAGATGGACGTTGCGCTTATCTTCTGTCGAACAAAGCTGGACTGCGATAATCTGGAGAAATATTTGCAGCAGCGTGGTGGAGGAAAATACTCATGTGTGTGTCTTCATGGTGACAGAAAGCCACACGAACGCAAGGGCAATCTCGAGAAGTTCAAGCGGAAAGAAGTGAGGTTCATGATCTGCACTGACGTCGCGGCCAGGGGTATCGACATCAACGGCCTTCCGTTTGTCATCAACGTGACGCTACCAGACGAGAAGCAAAACTACATCCACCGCATTGGTCGTGTGGGTCGGGCGGAGAGAATGGGGCTTGCCATCAGCCTGGTGGCCTCGTGCAAAGAGAAGGTCTGGTACCACTCCAACTGCAGCAACCGCGGCCGGGGCTGCTACAACACCAACCTGACGGACCACGGCGGCTGCTGCATCTGGTACGACGAGCCCAAACTGCTGAGCGACGTGGAGGAGCACCTGGACGTGACCATCGACCGCATCCAGCCGGACATGAAGGTGCCGATCAACGAGTTTGATGGAAAAGTCACTTACGGCAAGAAGAGGACCGGAGGGGGCAGTGCGTACAAAGGCCATGTGGAGTTTCTGGCCCCCACAGTGTCAGAACTGGCACAGCTTGAAAAGAAAGCTCAGACGACCTTCATTGACCTCAAGTTCAAGAAAAAGCTGGCCAATAGACAGTAGGTCGTTGGCGAGTGTTTTTTTGACAGTTTATGTTTGTGAGAGACTGGGAAAGTGTGATACCTTTTGGTTGTTGCTGTTTACTTAACTTTGTGTTGTAGCCTATCCATTTTTTTTTTAGAAAAACAAAATACTGTCGAAACTGTCCATGACAGCTACCCTTTGTCAGGGAGAAAAGTGGTTGTTGTAAACAGGTGGTCGTCTGGGATAACATAATTATGATGTACAAAAAAATGGAAGGGGGATGTGGGAAGTAGTTGTTGTGTACAGTTGACTGTCTTAGACTGGTGGCCATAAATCCCCGTCGTTTTATGCAAGAAAAATTCTGAAATTGTGCAAACTGAGCCCAAAAATGTGAAATTATACGATTCTGTTAATTTTAACAAAGAATGATAAAGGAAAATAATCAGAAATAATGCAAAAAATGATCAAATTTTGCTAAATTATACGGGGTGCATAAAACCGCAGGGACAGCCATTAGAGCAGGCTCGACTGTATATACAGGGTGTCTCCCGCTAGACGCACCATGGGGAAAATACATAATCTGTGCACTTTGGTGCCATTGTATAGGTCTTGTGTATTTTCACCGTGGTGCGTCTAGTGAGAGACACCCTGTATAGCAGCACTCTAATAGTAATAGCTGTGGTTGTTTTATTGTCAGACTGAGCTTCTGTTGATCTGGCTTTTTTTACCCTGATGTATAACTAGTTTTAGTAGCAAGATGCTGCTTACATATATATTATATCGGTACATCATACTTGCTTTGTGGTTTTTTTCTGATTTATGGCAGATTGCACTGACAACGACAACACAAGCTAGCTATTGCTGTCTTGCAAGGAAAAATTGAGCCTGTCTGAAACAAAAGTGTCTGTACATAAATGCAGTTGTTAAGTGGTGAAAAGTCAGGTAGTGTTAGTTGTTGTCGCTAGTCAATTGTTGTTTTATCTTTGACGCATTTCAAAATTGACCTCAAATGGATCACCCAATCCTAGAAGGAAGCATTATGACAAATGGAGAAGCTATGGTTTAACCCGCATATATATATATATACATGTAATAAGTCAAATGTCTCCTCAGTGTTGATAGGGAAATCTGCACAAGTTTCCTTTGTGTAAACCGCTCTGCAAGTGGTTGTGAACGGGTAATCTTGAGTTCATAATATTTTTGTCTTCTATAAACTTTGAATGCTATGGGTGAAGTGGATTTGTGATTGCTTGGGAAACTTCTTCATTTTCTTATAAGATAAGATAAGATAAGATACATCTTTATTGTCCAGATCCTGGCACATTGGTTTGGTGTTCCACCATGAGTACACACGCACACACACGCACGCACACACA